ATAAGGGAGGGGAGAAATCGACATCCACCTGTATGGTTAGCAGATTTCGGTGAAGGCTATGAGAAAAAGGGAAGTGAGGAGATGGTGTACAAACTCCAAAAGACTCTCTACGGATTAAAACAAGCACCTAGAACCTGGTTTAGTCGAATAGAATCCTACTTCATCAAGGAAGGGTTCAAAAGCCGTTCCAGTGAGCAAACACTCTTCATCAAGAGGAAGGGAGGTAAAATTCTTATTGTAAGCATTTATGTTGATTTTTTATTTACTGGAGACGATGAAGAACTATTGGAGGAGATTAAACATTCTATGAAGAAAGAGTTTGATATGATTGACTTAGGTCAGATGCGATTTTTTCTTGGAATAGAGGTAATACAAAGATTAGATAGTATTTTCATATGTCAAAGAAAGTAGGTTGGTGAAGTTTTAAATGGATTTGGCATAGAGAATTACAATTATGTTTGTAATTCCATTGTTCCAGGACAGAAAATTGTCAAAGATAAAAATGGTGCAAAAGTAGATGTAACTTTGTATAAACAAATAGTGGGAAGTCTGATGTATCTCACAGCTACTCGTCTTGATCTCATGTTTATTGTAAGTTTGATTTGTCATTTTATGGTATGTCCAACACAACAACATTTTGCAGCAGCTAAAAGGGTATTAGGTACTTGAAAGGTACAGTAGATTATGATGTATTTTATAGAAAGGGAGGAGTGAGACATAGAAGATAGCAAGAGTACTTCAGGCAATGTGTTTATGATGAGTGGAGGAGCAGTAGCTTAGTCTTCTCGTAAGCAGCCTATAGTCACCTTATCAACCACAGAAGCTGAGTTTGTTGGTACTAGTGTCTTTGCATGTCAAGCTGTTTGGATGAGGAGGATACTCAAAGAGATTGGTTACTCCTAAATAGAAAGAACAAAGCTAATGTGTGTAATACTTCAACTATTAAGTTATCCAAAAATCTAGTTCTACATGGACGTTCCAAACACATAAGAAAGCATTTCGAAAGTTGCATGAAGAACTTGGTGTGTAGAGTTTTTCTGATTTGAACTAATTCTTGACACAAAAGAATAAGTTCATAGAAGAATTTGATTAGGTCATAAGAGTTAGAGTATTTTTATTTGTTTACCAGATTTGTTTCGGTTTCCAAGATTTGTGGTTAGTTTCTATTTAGGGTTATTTGTAAGGCTATAAAAGTCAAGTTCAGTATTCAATAATATCATCACTTCAAACTTCATTGGCTTATTGAATTCTTTAGATGTGAACTCGCCGCCGCTATCTATACAAGAACTTTAATGTGGCAACCACTTTAGTTTTCCACTATAGCTTTAAAATTCTAGAACTTCAAACCAACACAGGAAACTATAGTCATCAATAAATGGTAAAAATTATCTACTCCCACCCAAGGATTTAGTTTGCATTGGCTCACATAAATCATCATGAATGAATTCTAGACAGTTGAAACTCTTTTAGCTTTTCCAACATGAAAACACTTCTTGGTAATCAAAAAACCATACCTTTGTTTATCCCGGAGTATTTTAGGTTCTTCATATGAAGATGCCCATATTCCAAATGCCATAACGTTTGAGTCATCTTTTGTGCTAGCAGGAATAGCAAAATCCCCCGTATTAGAAACATTTAATGGAAACATCTTATTAGAAGTCACGACAATTTGAACTTTATGACCTAATTTCTTATTTGTAACAGACACATGGTGCTGTCATCAAATTGGATGGAATGTTCTCTAGTCATCAACTGTTCAACACTTAATAAATTGTACCCTAAAACAGGAATAAATTAAACACTATCTAATAGTTTTACCTTACCATGATTCAAATATCTGCTATCCACAAACCATAAATCATCTTTTTTGGGTTAATATCAATGCAAGCCTTAAAAAATCTTTTTTCTTCTTCTTCATTTTCTACAACAAAATTCATTTGTTGATACCTTATGCAATGATAACATTGAATGATATTCATTATGTTACTTTGATCATTAAACTTTCTATGTCCCTCCTTTCTCCCTCTACCTCTATTACCACAACCACAACGGCTGGAGCGATCTATTGATCTATTGATTCTTGACTCATGAGCTTGAAGCGAGCCAATCAATATATCACTATAGTGTATTGATAGATCTTAAGCTTCTTCTATAGCAGCCCACCACCTAGTTAAACTTTGAAGTTAAGTTTCGGAACCCCTTGCAACAATTGATTCATCTAAAATTTTCTCTATAGGCACGCATCTTACTGACTATCGTTATTGTTTTCGACAAAAATCAGCAATTGATTCACCATTTGTCATGGGCAAAGTTTCAAAATCGCGTCTTAAAGGTCATAATTTCACTCTTATGACCTTTGAATCTTCTTGAAACTTTCTTTGCAGAATTGACCATGCTTGTTTTGTTGCGGTTGTTGCTGGATAAATAATGAACAAAATCTTGACATTCTTTTTCATAGTTTCTCTTAATCTTTCCGTTTCGTTTCTTCTATTTCTTCATCTTGATGCTCTACCACTTTTCTCACCGTTAAAAATTGGTATGAGAGGTGTAGAAGAAGAAAAACCAACTACTGTCATTTCCGTACCAATAATAAATAATCACCAAATACATATTTATTTCATTCTAAAAAAATGTAAAGTCTAAAGTCATCGAATTATGGACCAGCAAAGTTCAGGGGTAAAGTTGATTTCTTTTACCGTTATAATATACCATTAAAAATATATAGATGTGGTCTCATGGTTAGGATATTGGACTTTGAATCCAATAACCCGATTCAAATCTTGGTGGGACCTAATTCACTTTATTAGGTTTTTCATGAGGGACTCAAGGCTTGAGGAAGTTTTTGCCGTGTTGTGTAAAGAGAGGAAAAATCACGTGAAGTTTGTGTAAGGACCTGAGAGCCTTAACTTAGAAAATGGAAGCACACATGAAAATGTGCAAGTCGTGGGCTAAAAAGGTCTAGAACTCTCCAACCAATAGAGAGTAAATATAGGCTTACTAGAGAAAGAGAACCAATTTTTAAAGGTATTTTGAAGGTGAATATTAAGGGGAATTGATGCCATGCAAAATAACTTTGACCTACTTCTAGAACCGACCATGTCACCCCTAAACAAGATCAATACTAATTTTTAGTTCATTGTCACCACTTCTCGATCTATTCTAATGAATTTCTTTTTGGTTCTTAAAAATAGACTCGTTTAGGGTGTTGCAAACGAAAATTAAGCAAGCTACCTACTAAGTATATTTATATACTCTACTCGTACTACTTTTTCTTTTTTATAGGTAATAGCTGGGCTAATGACAATGGTGTAAGTAAGTTGATTAGCTATAGTATCGGTTAGATCAAAGTGATCTAGAGAGTTTTTGCTGTGTCTTATTATATTTCATAGCATCAATTTTTGGGACGAGAATTTTAATTATAATGCATTTGTAATGTAACAATTTTTTTTTAAATGTTATTATTTTTATTTTTATTTAATTTTATTTCTTTTTTAGAAGTGACCTTTCACCCTATTTCATCCTTAAATTCAAAACTAAATAATAATAATAATAATAATAAATTTATTTTTTAATTTTAGAATTTGTTCAAATGTTTCATTAAAAAGTGTAAAGAGCTAGAAAATTGGGAGAAACAACGTGGAAAATTAAATGAAGAATAATATTTATTTAGAATAATAACGATAGAAATATTAAAATATTCGAGAATCAATACTCCATTACAAGTAAGGCCTTGAGAGCCAAGGAGGTCTAGAATGCTGAGCTAAATAAGAATGATTTCTACCAAAGTTTTGCCTCCGATTACATACGAATTAAATGCTTGGGACCTATTCTACTAGCTCGAGGGGAAGAAAAGAAGGATTTCGTTGAAGAAATCGAAGGCCAATAAGCTAGAGAAATATCGAACCAATAGGAGGAAGAAGTGAGTTAGCTCCCACAAAAAAAGCTAGTTTCGAGGGGGTATTCTTCGATGTTCTTCATCTATAGCCCATGAGAGCTCGTGAAGTCCCTAGTCGCCTAATATAAAGTTTGAAGGACGTAGTGGTATATTTAAGGTTTAAACCGAGGATAAGAGTAAAATGACCAAAATGCTCCTACTATGTGCATAACTTATTTCCCCCTAAAATGAAACACGGGGCCTTATGAAGCCTTTATCAAGCAAATCATGTAGTTGTTCCTTGAGCTTTTTTTAGTTCTCTTGGAGCCATCCTATAAGACGTTTTGGAGATCAAGATTGCTTCGGAATCAAGCTCCATAGAGAGATGAATTAAATAATTGGAGGAAACCATGGTAGCTCCTCTAAATAACACATCATCGAACTCTCTAACTATTTTTACTTCGGATGCACTGACTCCTACGTTCCTAACATTTGTAACGTTGGCTAGGAACACCCATGCTCCATGACTTATTAACTTTGTTTGCCATTAGAGTGAATATAACTGTTGAGGTATTCTTGGATCTAACCTTTTTGTACCTTAACCCCTCACCTTTTAGAGGTCTAATGGTCACTTCATGGGCATGATAATCTATATCGGAGTAGCTCTCTGCTAGTCAATTTATAACGCATATGACATCAAAATCATTCATGTCTAAAACTATCAATGTCATGTCTAGACATCGTTACTCCACCGGCCTTAACTATACGTCTAGCCACTAACACTATGCCTATAGGGGTGGATATTTGAAACTATGGTTCTAATGTCTAGTTCTACATGAGAATGCCTCACGAATATAACATAAATACGGCTAGGTTCATTTTATCTTTATTTAATTGAGTAAGATGGTATAATTAATTTATGGATTATACTAGTTAAATTATTAAATTTATTTATTTGTGAAAAAAATATTAAAATGGAGTAGTAAATAAATTAAATATATTATTTTAATAATTTGAGTTAATAAAGGCTAACTAATTAATAATAATTATCAACTAAAGTAATTACTTGTACCGTCCTCTATGGCGGGAAAAGACAACTTGGCAATCCACTTCCACCCAAATAACTGAATGAGATTTGAACCGGAAGCCCCAAATCAAATCCAGCCCTAATTTTGTATTTGACTCCGACATCCTCGCTCTAGAGCCGAGACACCCTTTGTTGAGAAGGTTTCCTAGAGAGAGAGAGAGAGATAGAGCTACGGAGAGATAGCCATGGATGCTTTTAGAAAGCAACTGGACCAGCTAATGGGGGCGAATCGAAATGGCGACGTGCAGGAAGTTAGCCGCAAGTACTACGACCGCGATGTGTGCCGCATGTTCTTAGTTGGCCTTTGTCCCCATGAGCTCTTCCAACTCACGGTTAGATCAATTCAATATTTCCTCTATTTCCTACCTCGTTTTTTGTTTAGGGACATCTCTTTTTAGTCAGACCACCCGGCTACTGTTTTGGACTCTTTCATGTTAGTGTGCTTGTGTTGGTCTATCTGTTAGGAAAAATCTGGATGATCAATCATCTGGAAATGGAAAGGTGGAAGGGAAAAAATGCTGAAGATAATTTGTTTTATTGTTGTGGGAAATTGGTTTCTGCTATCAACCATTTGTGTTTTTCCTTGTTTCTTTTTGTTTACAGATCAATTTAATTTTACAGTATTTTAACTAAATTCATATTCTGTTTCAGAAAATGGATATGGGTCCATGTCCGAAAATCCACTCCTTGCAGCTTAGGAAAGAGTATCCTTGATAAGGTTACAGGCCACTGTGTTTGTTTTTAATAGCATTGCTGGAATACTCCGTCATATTTCTTTTATGCTAACTTACTATCGTGCTAGAGCAATGGAGTTGGTTAATATGCTATCATAATTTGGCTTCGAACTGGAACTTTAATTGTGCGCTGGTGGATTAAAGAGTTTCTGAAAGGAGACCTATTCCATTCAGTCAACTCTATACTGTATTTTTCTTATAAATATTTATATTTTTCCTTTGATGACTGTAATTAAGGCATGCCTTAACTGCAGCTTATTGATGCTACTTCATAAGTTCATTTCTACTTTCAAACTAATACTACTTCTCCTTCATGTGGGGATATTTGTGTTTATTATCTTATTTCAATTGACTGATACAATTCATGGATATATGGACTAAGTTGAATCTTTTAAACCTTACGTTTCCTTCCGTTGCATATAGTACTTGTCGTACTGTGTACCTTATAAAGCAAGCTAAATGCTTCTTGGTGGTGCATAGCTACAATGATGTATTTTGTTGTTATCCTCCCTCTTGAAGCTCTCTTGGGAGAGGGTTCTCTCTTTCCCTTGCCCTTGGGCTGTTTAAAAAAAAAAAAAAAAAAAAAAATTGTGTAGGCTGTAAAAAATTTGTTTTGGCAGTTTGTTGGGAAAACCTAAGCATATGATTCATTGCCTAACATTCAACTAGAAAGAGCGAATTTTATAGTCCTCTTAGAGTGATAAGAAGTTATGAGTTCAAATAATTTTTGTATTTGTGAATATACCTTGGCCAATTTGTTTTTAAGAAATATCTGAAAAACCATTGCTGAAGATGTATATATTTTTACCCATCTAAATCTCAATTAGTTTAAGGGGTTCCAAATTACATAAATGGTAATTGAAATTAGGTAGAATTGGAAGATTTCAATTGTACTTCATTTGTTCCACATATGTTCTTTTAACTCTTTCTAGATACGAAGAAGCAAAGACTAAAGGAGTTCATAGCTATGACCGAGACTTGGAAGATGTTATAGATCGTCTCATTATTGAGTGTGATAGGAAAATTGCTAGAGCCTTGAAGCGACTTGAGGAAGAAGATGCAAAGGCTGCTATTGCAATTTCTGTCACTGAAGTCACCCAGGTACTTGTTAGGGCATAGTGAAAATATAATTATTTTATGATGATACATATATATTTTTATTTATTTATTTAATTGATTGCTCTTACAGATACCTGAGGTACTTGAGTTATCAAAGCAAATTAAAGAGAAGTTGAAAGAAGCCGACCAATATGGTATTTGTGTTTTAATTGGTGGAAGCGTTGGATGGTTTCTTTATCTAGTTTTTCTTAAATACCAAGACCTATTCCTTCTCTTTCCATATCATGGTTTGCTTACCTTTTTTTTTTTTTTGTTGGAAATAATAAGAGTTGTGTCAAAATGTCGATGATCCCAATCTTTTTATAATTCTCTCTCCTTATTACAAGTGGTGGATTATGTTATTCCTTTTCATTTAGAACTGCATGTACAAATACCTTGAGAGATGTGTTTGAGTTTTAGGAATGTATACATCTTTTCACCTTTCTATCTATAGAGATATAGGTCAATGCTAGTAAACACTAACATTTTGTTTGTAGCCAAATGTTCATATTTGATGTGCTCTGCACAGACATGCTTGAACATGTAAAAAAAACATCTGAAAAAGAGTGCCTATTTCTTTTAATATTTTCTGTATGCATTCGGATCAATGTTTTTTAAAGCTTGAGGTGCACCAAAGCGCACAATAAACAGAAGAACCCCTTTAAGGTGCACTATGTATACCAAATACATAGGAATACAAGTATATAAAACATCCATGGAAAGAAATGAACTTCAACTAAGAAAAGTATATACAAGATAAAGAACATTCAAATATTATTCCTTTAACATAGAGTCAATACTACAAACAAAAGAAAAAAGAAAAAAAGAAACAATCCAACAATCCAACAATAATCACAACTGAGAAAGAGAGAGAGAAAGAGAGACCGAGAGGGACAGAGAGAGCTTACAGAAAATTAGAGAAAAAAGTGAGACTGAAAGAGAGAGTGTTAATGGAAGAAGAAAGAACACTAAGAGCGAGAGAGAAAGAGAGAGAGAGAGAGCTTATCAACAATGTAGGCTGCAGTGAGGGTGAGTTGATGGCAAACTATCAAAGAATGGAAGAAACAATAATTTTATTGATAAATGAAATTTACAAAAGAGGTAGTGCTAACTCCCGAAATTCTATTGTAACTAATTCTTCCACGAGCTGTAAAAATATGTAAAAAAAAAAAAAAAATAGACAGAAAAAAAAGAGAGAAGAAAGCCCTAATGCAGAAACCTTTGCGTTTAGGGTTAGAAACATAAATGAATTAAAAAAAAAAAATTTGAAGAAGCTCTAAAGGCATGTGAAGTGAACACACAAGAAGAATGTCTTTCATTTTTTGAGGACCTTTGATTTTGTTTTGGCTCATAACAAGGACTTCTCCTCTATGATTGAGGTGGTGCTTTTGAACTTTCCTTTATGTGATAAGTTTTTTTTTTTTTTTTTTTTTTTTTTTTTTTTTTTTTTTTTTTTTTTTTTTTTTTTTTTCGTTTTTAGGATGTTCAGGTAGAGAGGAATGATTGGATTTTTAGAGGGCATGAGAGTCTGGATATGAGCCTTGGGAGTTGGTGCGATTTAACTCTTCGTTATGTTGTACGTTAATCAAACTTTTTTTTTTGTAACATTATTTTTTATTGGAGTCTTTTCTTGTAATTAGGGTGGGGCCATCAATATGCGTCCTTATTTGTATACCTGCGCATAGAAATTTGAGATTTAGGAATTCATCAATGAAATATGCGTCCTTATTTGTACACTTGCTCATAGAAATTTGAGTGTTTGTAGATACCATGTCAATTACTAACTTCTAAATGCGGCAATGATCCTATATAAATTTCTATTTTCATAAAATTGGATGAATTGCATGGATCCTCTCTCTTAGCTTGACTTGAAGTTAGGATACCATTATAAGAGTCGTAGACCATGTTCACAAGATGACTTTCCGAACTCATGAGGGAAACTAAGAGTTCTTTGTCATACTTTTCGGCCTTATCAACGTGCTGATGACCTTCTAGATGCAAATGAATTAGGTGTTTCACTCTTATTTACAAAATTTTGTCGCGACATGCTCTAGTTCTGGGTGTCTTCCAATCGTTTTCTAGTGTTAGAAAGGACGTATCCGTCTTAGACATCTGCAATGCTCTCCTATGCTCTTTTGACTTGAAATATTGGACAAACTGAAGGAAAAGACTGACCCCATTCAATGATTTTTGTAGTGCTGGTTTATTTTTCAATGATATTTTGGTCTATAGTCTAGATTTGCAACCCATTTGAAACATTTCGGGCAGCTATGAAGGACAATCAATTTTTTTTTTCTAATTAGTTTTAAGAAGTCTTGCTTTGCTTATGGTCGCATCAATTTTGGGCACTGGGTCTCGTCTAGGGTGGCAAGCTAATTTGGAAAAATGGGAGTGATCAATATTGGACCATTTCTACATATCTCAAGGAATTCTAAGGCTTTTGGGTCTTATGGGTTACTTACAACAATTCATGGAAACTTATGGAGCCCTAGCAGCGCCATTAGCAAAGCAACTCAAAAAGACTACTACAAGGTTTCTTTCGACCTTGATGGTAATTTAAGCACTTATTTTAAATATGTTTTCTAGGAGGGGTAAAATGGGAAATTGAGTGACTGAGTTTGTTAGTAGTGCATGTTCCTTACATGCAGTAAATGGGATAGTGGGTAAGGTATTGGTTATTTTGGAAAAGACTAGTGTGTGACGAGGTGGCCGACCCTCTTGAATTGGCTAATAGAATTGTGGATGTTCTTACCCCATTTTGCTATATGTAAAGAAAAATCACCAATACCTAACAGTTTATAAGTTAATTTGAGGATATTGTCTGTTTTTGTTACATCAATTCAAAATATTTCTTCGTCCTTTCCTTTCAATTTTCTGGGTGTCTTTATTAGGTATTAGGGATTCTAAAGTTGTTTTTAATTTAATTGATTGCTTCTAGTTTTATGTCCTTACTTTTTGGAAGTCTTATTGAGAAGTTGAGGTGTCAATTGTTGCAGATCTTGAGGGCAAAACAGATCTTAAAATTCGAGTTTTGGAGGTTATAGATGAATTGAGGACTAAAAGAGCTGACAAACAGGTACATCATACTATATTTTTGGATAAAAATAGTTGAACCTTTTCGAATCTATGTTATAATTTTAACCATAGCATGTGTTTCATAGTTATTTTTACTTTTTTGCTTTGTCAACATTCAATGTGAGTTATCTAACATTTAATGTGTTCTTTTTAACAGTCCATGCTTCTTTTAGACGCTTTCAACAAAGATAGGGCGTCTTTACCTCAACCTCTGCCAAACCCACCACCTATGGCTCCTCTACCTGTTGTAGCTCCTGATCCTCATACACAGGAGATGATAAATGAGAAGTTGAAAAAGGCTGAGGAACTTGGTAAGTCTTGTTAAAAAAACATCTGGTTATATTGTGAATTTACTTTCTGAGTAAAGTATGCCATTAATTGGTTTTATTGGGTTTTATATATCTTATCATGTTTTTTCAGTTTGTTTCGATTGCATGGGGATTGGAAGTTCGTTATTTTGTAGTTCTTCCGATTAGGGGTGATAATCCATATTGTTCTCTCCTTCAGGTGAGCAAGGAATGATTGACGAGGCTCAAAAAGCACTAGAGGAAGCTGAAGCACTTAAGAAGGTTTGTCTCTGGTTCCTAGCAGTGGGAGTGTAAACCTATGTTTTCTACTTATAAGGATGTATTTTTTTAAACTCATATTTTTAATTGTATTTCTAGCATATTCTGTTATTTATGGTGGTTATTTTGTTGTTCATTTACAGTTGCCTGCTAGGCAGGAGCCAGTAGTGGATTCATCCAAATATACAGCTGCTGATGTGCGAATTGTGAGTCAACTTTTTTGCATGAATCCTCCTAATCTCTTTGGTCAAATATGATATTTCTTTTCCACTGAAAAGTTAATGTAGTATTAAAAATATGAAATATGCAAAAGAAAAGTCTATTTTTGCATACAATGGTGGAACTAATTGTAACGACCTGACTTTTTATACATATAACGGTCGGAGCCATTAAAAAAAAAAAAATTTACAGTTCAAAATAAATGAAAAAGATGTTAAAAATAATTTATAAGATTCATGTGCGGGGTACCTTTTAATAATAATCTAAAAGACATGCAATTTAAATAAATAGTTGAACAACAACTTAAAACAAAAGTTAACATCAGTTTGACTTCCTAGTTCCCATAAACTAGGAGTCATCTAACACAATTTAAATCAATGACAAACTAAATGCGAAAACGTTCTATCAATGAAAACATAAAATCTTCGAGTTGCCCATGACTGACTTCTCCACCCTGTTCATCACTTTCGTGCCATGGTCTTGCCTGAAAAACCTTTTAAAAACAAGGTGAAATACTCGGTAAGGAACTCCCTTATTGGGGTCAAATACATAAATCATCATATGGCTAATCAAACGAAATTGAGGGACCTTAGTGGTTAATTACCTGAAACACATAGAGCGTAATTTTTCCACTAAACCTATTTTCAGCAATCACTCCTCAAAGTGGCCATAAGTGGCTGGTTACCCTATTCATACAGCTGAGGAAGCACAGTTATTTTTAGCTACCCACACCCGTTTGTCCTCTATGATGTAAGATGCAAAGGTGAAAGAAAGGCATCCAATTGCATCCCGTCCAGAATTTCCCCATGCTTAAGATTTCTACGAAGTTTTAAATCCCAAAAACTAAGATCAGCGCACCACATATCATCCAAAGCTGCATCTTTGTGTGAAGTTTAAGCAAAAAAGGAGTGACCCTTCCAAGAACGGTAGAGGCCCCATTCCCTAAAGCAATTCTGATCCAATCAGTCACCAAACCCTGCTGTTTGAAGATGAATCTCCATGGTCACTTGGGAGAATTCAAAGAGGATCTTCAAGTGTAAGCGTTTAGAACTGGGGGTCCATATTTTGCATCAATAAGTTTCTCAAAAAAGCAGTTTTCCGCTGTTATGCTGCCTAATTCATTTGGCAAGGAGAGCCTGATTTCTATCCTTTAAATTGTGTATGTCGAGACCTCCTTGGTCCAAGGGAAGGACGACAGTTTCCCAATATACAATTTGGAGGCTAGAGGCATCCTTGTCACCCCTCCAAGAAAGTTTCGAAAGAGTTTCTCCATGGATTGAGCAGCTTTGTTTGGCAACAGGAAAAGGGATAAGTAGTGGGTAGGGGTTTGATAGTGTAGCTCAGAGGAGAGAAAGTTTACTCCCTTTGCAATATAGGATTAGGTCCACAACAATAGCTTCTTCTTTTTTTTTTTTCAGTTTTTTCAACAATGTGGGACCAAAAAGAAACGGATCGATGAGGACTTTTTGGGGGGAGACCCAAATAAGTGTTTGGGCACTTTCCAACCTTGCAACCAAAACGTCTGAGCAACAGGTTCAAGCATAGAAGGCTCCAAATTCATCCTGATAACCTCTGATTTTTGGCAACTTAGGTTCACGAATCTTTTTCAAACTCAAGGACAACATCAAACAAATTTTTGAGAGCCCCCAACTAATGAGATGAAAAAGGAATTGTGTTGTTTGCAAATTGAAGGTGATTAATAGAAAAAGGACCCCTCCCCAGTTGGAAGCCTAATTGAACCACACTCTCTTCAGACGATCATAAGCCTTCTAAAACAGTCCCACTCCACCACAATATCAAAAAGAAAAGGGGTTCACGGGTCATCTTACCTGATACCTCTCAATGCAAAAATTTTACCGAGGCTTTCCATGGATAATAATACATTTCTTTTCGATGAGATACAGCTCTCGATCCATTTAATCCAAGTGGTGCCAAAGCCCATGCGATCAATGTTTTCTCCAAAAAAATAAATCCCAATTGACCTTGTCAAATGCCATTTCAAGTTTGACTACAACCCCCTCTTCTTTCGAAACCATTCATCATTAAAACTCATTTGCCAAGGAAGTGTCGAGGATTTGATGCCCTCCAACGAATGCTCTGATTAGAATTCCGTAATAGTGGAAGGGAAGAATTTCTAAGTTTCTTATAATTTTGGAATGTATATGAGCTTTATACTGTGACTCCTGAGTTTATTTTAAAGTATAAATTGTACAAATTTATTTATATCTTGTGTCATGTAATCTCACTTGTTTGGAATTTACCCAGACGGATCAAAAGCTGCGTGTGTGTGACATCTGCGGGGCTTTTCTAAGTGTTTATGACAGGTAAATTGAGCTTACAAATTATACATGTTCTTTTAGTAATCTAAGCTTTTCTCAGGAAAATGTAAAGTTAGTCTTTGGGGTTTCCTAGTGCTCAGTTTTGACCAGACAATTATACCTCCTTTTCCCCAGCAGGCTTTTGGGCCCAGTTTTACGAGGATAACTTTTCCAGCTAAAGACTGTGCGTTATTTCTGTTTTTATTTGTGAATCATGCTATTGTTTCTTAGAATGTTTTTGGGAACCATGCATTACATGTTTTTGTAAGTTTCAGAATGAAGTTAAATTCATGAATTTTTGTTTTGAATGTTAGACCATTTAATTTCTTTTTCTTTCAGTGATCGTCGTTTAGCAGATCATTTTGGAGGAAAACTTCATCTCGGCTACATACAAATACGTGAAAAGTTAGCAGAGCTTCAGGTTAGATAATGTTATTCCTGTGCATGTTATTACCCATTTTTTGTTATATATACATCATTCTTGCGGGGGGGAAAGGAAAAAAAAAAAAGATTGATTATATTTTTGCCACTAGACTGGAAGATGTGTTAATGGTTAGTTACTCAAGTGTTGGATGTGTTATGTATTGTCATCAAATGTCTTTGGAGTTGTGTATTTAAGTTGGTACTGTGAATGGGTTCAGGTGCTGCTATATGTACAAATTCTACCATAGAGATTCTGAGTTATACTTTATCTGTGAGTTTTTCTTTCCTTAAGAGACAAATGAATTTTTCTTTTGTGACACGAGGAAATTTAGATGGCTCTTCATGTTCTCTGATTTGATAATATCATAGTACAACGGACGTGAGAAAATAAATAATGTGATGTCTGGCTAAAATTAGAGATGACAGGAAAACCAATCAATTTATGTTGGATCATATTTTACGGTTCACTTGATATGATTAATTCCCCTGGTGTCTATTTCTTGAATGGCATTGGTGGGGTGCCCAAACCACAAGTAATGAAGTGTCGGTGTCGGACATGCTTGTTGAAGTGTCCATTTTTTGGACACACGCCGACATGTTTGAAACCATGAAAAAGTATTTTAAAAAAAATCGCTGGAACCCACGGCGTCACATTCTGAGAAGAGAAAATAAGAAAGAAGGTTAGAAGAATGGAAAGTACAAACCCACACTGTCTCTTAAATAAGAAAGAAGAAAGGTAGGAGAAGGTGAAGAAGAAAACCCACGTTGTCTCTCCTCCTGGGATGAGAAATAAGGAAGAAGAAAGGGTAGAAGAAGGGACGGTGCTCTTTCCTATAAATGAAACAGTTTGTTTTTATTGTTGGAGAAAAGTAAGTATGGCGAATGACAACCATGCAACAGCGAAAGGTATGTGTTTTGTTAATTATTAAATAATTCTGTTAACATTTCAAATTTTAACTGTTTTCATTCTTTAAAAAAATATTTCACAATTTAAGATTTTAGTTCTTTTTTAAATCTATTTTAGTTTTTTTTATAAGATAAATGTATATTAGTTATAAATTAATATTAAAATTTGTGGTAGACAGGATATTGTTGATATTGATTAACATATCTCTTCTTTTTAAAGAATTGTATAGATTTTTTAAAATTTTTAAAATTTTTAAAATTTTTATGTTTAAAGATTGGACATGTATTTTGGTAAGCCGATAATATGTCAAGCTATATATTTGTGTCATGTACGACATGTTGCGTGTCCACTTTTGTGCTTTTTTTTTAAGCTGGTAGTGGCTTAGCCTGTGATAAACGCAGAAAATTTAAGACCCTAGAGCCAATTGAAAGAGAACTAGTCTTTGAGAAATGTATTTTTTTTTTTTCCGTAAGAAACAATTTCATGGAGACTCTCTATCAGAATACAGCTGCAAAGTAGAAGGGAAACTCTCCTATTTATATAAAACTGACCAACAGAAAAATAACCTGCATGCTCGTACCTCTAACCAAATAAGAGCTGTTAACTAAACTGTGACTGAAATTCATGTTACCCTAAGATCATCCTAAGTTACTCTTCCAGCTTCAATAAAAAACTTGCTCTGGCAACAGAATCTTCTTGGCACGAGGTATTCTTAATGGAAGTATCAGAAACTTGATTTCTTCTTAACGAATGAATAGATTTGAAATCTTAATTATCAGTTCATTTAAGTGTAACATAATGCTGTTGAAAATTTTGAACCATAATTGATTTTGATAATGCTGTTGAAAATTCTGAACTCTAATTGATTTTGAGTCGGGTGTAAATTTTATTGGCCAGCTACTAATGGCATCTATTTCTAGATGTCAAACAATTTAACGTTAGGCAAGTGTCTCATGCAGTTGGTTGAGAAATGAATACATTTAAAGGTATAAGAACGATATTTTTTCATTATTATATGTAATTGTGAGCTTTTTATTGGTAGAAGATGCAAGCTTTGATTGTGAAAAGAGGTGGGACTTGATATAAAATTTAACAACATTGATGACTCCTTGCCTGCTCTCTTTCTCGAGTACCTTAATCAGCTATCGATCTTATTGGAGCTATGCATAAGATTTTATTTGTATGTATACTTCTTGGTTCTTATTGGAACTATGCATAAGATTTTATTTGTATGCGTTGGTTAGTCTCAGTGGAATTATTATTTGTATCCATACATCTTGTCTATGCATTTTTCAATTGGACATTAGTGTCTTAGTGGAGAGTAACGAAGTTTTTATTTTTTTTTTATTTTTATTTTAAATTATATATGTATATATTAAATTCAATTAGAAACCAAGCTTACAAGGGAAATACAAAATGAAAAACCTCAAAAGGAGCCAAACTACCATAATAAGGGGGCTACAACTAAACAATCCAAGTGAGGCCTAAATGATAAGTTTAAAGCTTTACACCCTGAGGCTCTTGGCTCAAAGAGAGGTGTGAAACCCAAGAGGGGATTACATCTCAATGGGTCTTTCAATCCCCTAATTCTTTAATTGTTCATTTTCCTCAATGGAATGGTTTAAGTCTAATATTTTTTTTAAGTTTGGGGGGGTTAATTAGAATATGATTCTAACAGCTTATAATTCAAGGGTGTTTTGGCATTTGCATTTATTTAATTTTTTCCTTTTCCAAATCATGCTTGTGTCCTAAAGGTGTATTACTGTTGTGTTTATTAACGTAGAGGTATACAACCTGAGATTAAAAGCATACCTTGCTGATGATTATTAGTTAGGGATATCTTATGCTATTGACGTGATGTGATTTTCCATTGAACTACCATGATGTGTGGTTTCTGTTGTATTTATTGTCACTTTGTTAGGAAGAAAGAAACAAAAGCCACAAGGTTGATCGACATGATGATCAGCGGTAAATGTTCTTATACCTGTTTTTTTTTAATAATTTTCCCTTTTATACTAGTATGTTGTTCATTACCTAGATGCTCTCTTTCAGATCAAAGGAGTGTAGTAGAGAACCTAGTAGAGACCATGACCGTGGTGATAGTCGTGACCGTGGAAGGTATAATAACCGTAGGAGCAGGGATCGTGATAGGCATAATGATCGGGATCGTTATGACCGGGAACGCATTAGAGACTCAGATTGCTCTTATGATTCTAGAAATCGTCACCGTTCACGCTCACGGTCAACAGACCATGAACGTTCAAGGGACTATGATCGTCACAAGTACTGTTCAATGACTATATCAACTTGATCTTGTGTCATTTCTTTGGCCATCGTTCATATTTCACACGCTGAGCAAAATATATCTCCATGATATTGCATAAACATTTGATGCACACGATTTGCAGTTAAACAGCCTTGAGTAATGAATTTTTCATCCTTCAGAAAATTGAGATAACAACATAGTGATTACAAGTCTCTTTGGGTCAAGTCATATTGATCACATCTATCAAGTTGATACCCTATGTTGTAAGGCCAAATAGCTAAGAATCTTTCGACCTCTTTAATATACATTTTGTATTATCTTCCCTCTTATCAATTTTACTGGGAATTCTTAAGTAGGAAGTACTCTGTATTTGTCTTTAAGAACTGTGAGATCTCATATCGATTGGAGAGGAAAACGAAACATTCTTTGTAAGAGTGTAAAACCTCTCCCTAGCATACACATTATAAAACCTTGAGTGAAAACTCGGAAGGGAAAGCCTAATAAGAGGACAATATCTGCTAGCAGTAAGCTTGGACTGTTACAACGGCCCCATTTTTCTAGAGCTACTATTTTGTTTCCGTTCTCTTTGCTTCTGGGAATATTTAGGACCTGGGATGCTCTTTTCTACCTACTTAATCCATGAATTCCTTACCTATGCAATTAATTTTTAAATACCACATGGAGATCATGAGCGGCTCTTCATGTTAGTGTTGTGTATAATCAGTTTGTTCCTTTTCCCTTGTACCATTTCCCCCTCAATTCTCATGGGTTTTCGCTCTTTGTGCAGGCGCCGTGACCGGTACTAAACAGTTTTTACTGTGGATCCATATGGAAGTGAAAGTACAGGTTCATGTTCTGTGTTTCTTCCTCTATTTTGATTGCAGTTGGCTGTATCTTCTCTACTGATTTTATATTTACCGCCAGGAGCTTATTTTGACAATAGATTTGAGAGGGGTATGGTTGTGCTGATTACTGGAATTTTATATGTAGCTGTTAGTGGGGAGTAGTTTCCTTGAGGTCTTCTTTTAACACATGGGCTTAAATTATGGGATACATCAATTCTTCATATGCTCATTGGGGAGACTTCATCACTGTATGTAAGTTGGCAACATTTGACCTATAACTATTGACGGACCACCGTTTCATGTATTTAGAACCAAAATTCATATGCACAGGCCTGATGAATGATTTGTTTCTTTTAATGGTATCTGCCTCATAATCTGAAAATTCGTTATAAATTACTGCTAAGTTCTAGGAAAGAAACAGGTACGTCAACATCGGCTGCTGGAAAGCTTAGCCTCAGTCTTGCTGTACGTTGTTTTAATTTGGACAAGCAGATATCAAATTTAAGCTGTGGTTGGGTTGAAATAATTTTGAAGCCAATAGATTGTTGCAACCCACAGAATCACACATTTCTGTAGTTGAATATTATTTAGTTCTGTATTTTTCATGAGGGGATCTGATTGTGTTTGCACTTGTGAAAATGGAAGAAATGTTGTTAGTCACTTACCGTGTCATAGCATGAGTTTGCTCCCTTTGTTTTCTAAAAAATCAATCCTTTTATTTATATTTTTGAAATATTGGAATACTTGTTGACTTTTTTTTGTTAGATTTTTAGACCATGTGTTTATAATGAGAGGATATAATTTGTTAATAAACTATCACAGTGGAGAACCATGATATGAGATCCTACATTGTTTGGGGAGAAGAACAAAGCATTTTTTATAAGTTTTAAAAATATTGAGAGAAAGTTCGAAAGGAAAAGTCTAAAGAGGACAATATATGCTAGTTATGGGTGTGAACTGTTATAAATAGTATCAGAGCTAGACACTGAGAGATGTGCCAGTGAGGAGGTTGAGCTCAAAAGGAGAAGGGAACAAGTGCCAGCGAGTACGCTAGTTCGAAGGAGGGTGGATTGTGAGATCTCTAATTGATCGATTGGGGAGGAAAACAAAACAGTATTTACTCGCTAGTTCGAAGGAGGGTGGATTGTGAGATCTCTAATTGATCGATTGGGATTCTTTATAAGGGTTTAGAAATCTTTCTTAATAAACGTGTTTCAAAAACTTTGAGAGGAAGTTCGAATGAAAAAATCAAATAGAGCAATATTGCTAACAGTAGACTTGGATTATTAGCATTGGTATTCATTTCAACTAAACGTGGTAATTCATCCCAAGCCTCTTATTAGGATGCCCACCTTGGATTAATCCATTGAACTTTTTTCCATGACATTGAAAGGTGCTGCAAATTGAAGTCTATGCCGTGTTCTTCCATGACATTGCCAATGCAATGTCATTGGCAAAGTGTTGTTGCTTCATTTTATGAAACATTGCAAGGAGTTTTTTCCCATGATCGGATCGATTCTCAAATATTGAGAAGATGCGTCATTTTATAAAGTCTAAAATAATGTCACGCGACACCATATGACCCTTTTCGAGGGTAGCACATAACAACGAAAGTGCTTCCATGCAAAATCTAAAATAATGTCACGCGACACCATATGACCCTTTTCGAGGGTAGCACATAACAACGAAAGTACTTCAATGCAAGTATTTATAGCCTACATTATTTCAAGGTACAAAGGAATTTGTTATGCATTGCGATAGGTGCAAGTGCACCGAAAAGATTTCGTCAAGAATAAAATGTGAATGATATATTGATATGCTTTTTTTTATTAGAAAACTTCTAGTGTACGAGGATTAGAGAGTTTGAATGAGGATGTTTTTTTGATTGAAAATTAAATGTTTTTTTTATTGCAATTGGTTGGGTTTAATTTAGTTTTAGAGACAAAACTTCTAATTTACGAAAATTAGAGAATAATTTTTTCATAGTAATTTACTCCGTATTGGTTCAATTATAGATTACTGGATGGTATATGAATTTGGTTTGTCAAAAGAAGGTGTATCAGCTATTTAAGGACTACTCATTCCAACCACTCCATCTTGATATGTCAATCATATCTATCGATATAAAAAGCGGGCGAATCGACCCAAAATCTTAGAATTGAGAATAGATTCAACGTGAAATAAAAATAAATTAAATTAAAAAAAAAAAAGAAAAAAAAGTAGTGGACATTAGGAGAGTGATGAGAGAAAGTCCATAAACACTTTGAAAGGGAATCTCTTCTCAGCCTGTAAACGTTGAATGATTACTTTGGTGGTTCCTATTTGTTCTCTACATTCAACCATTTCCGCTTGTCTCTCAAGAATGATGGATTTCTTATTGGATTCGATCGCCTGTTCTCTAATCCATTCCGATTCTTCCGATTCCTAGTCGCCTCTCTTCTTTTCTCCAATTGATTTCAGCAATTTCGGTTCTCAAATCGAAACCCCATTTGTATGCCGAACTAGATTCATCTCCACTTTTTTCCGCATCCCCTTTTCGATTCATCCAGGAATCCCAGCAGAAAGGGTTGAGACGGAGATTTTTGCATTTCTTCTTCACCCAATTTCCGGATTCCGAAATGGCTGTTTGAAGGTTGCGATGATGAGGTAGGATCGAAAGAAAGGCCTTGTGTCCCGAATCGGGTGGGGCAGAAGAGGGTTCCTGACGGATCGGTACACAGAAAGTGGGGGGCGTTGGGAGGTCAATTGGGGGGTTGGGCTGGAGTGCATTCTAAGCATTGTTAGGGCACTTCGGATGGGGTCCTGCTTGTCTGCGGAAAGCAGGGGCCCCATTCCTGGTTCCCCAAACACTCCGGCTAAGCACCGTCGTAGCAAGAACAGTTCTAAGAGGCGAAATGTTTCTCGAAATTCCTCCTTTGGGGATTCGTCACTTCATCGGATCCCCGGCAGGCTGTTCGGCAATGGTGCCACTGATGTCGCTTCTCTGTTCACGCAGCAGGGAAAGAAAGGGACCAATCAAGATGCCATGATTGTTTGGGAGGTTTGTTCTTTATTTCAACTCATTTCATGCTGGAAAACGAATGTATATCCATGAGTTCAATTCAACTGCTTGCTTCATTGCTTGTTTCCTTCGAGTCTGTTCTATTAATTAATTATCTGATCCAACACAGATTACTTGACTTGGGCTGCTTCTTTTTTACCCAACTTCTGTGTTTTTCCCCTCAATTATGTGGATGAAGATCTTTTTAGAAAGTTTCATCATGAATTTGAATCAGGGATCTCTTAGATTGTCTTAATAACCACCTGTGCAGTGTACGTCATTTGTGTTGAGACGTCCTTTGTGTTGAGGATTGCTGAGAGGGAGTCCCATGTTAGGAATGATCATGGGTTTATAAGGAATACATCTCCATTGTTATGAGGTCTTTTGGGGAAGCCTAAAGCAAAGCCACGAGAGCTTATGCTCAAAGTGGACAATATCATATGTTGTGGAAAGTCGTTATTCCTAACACTTTGGTGTCTGTCTGTTATGCTTTCGTATACTCTCTTTTTGTTCATGGCTTCTTGGGGGTGGGGTCGAATTTTAGGTTATTTTCTTAATCTTCTGTCCATTTTTCATATAATAATAGAATGTGCATCAACATGGCTTGATCCCTTTCTCTCTTAAACTCCAAACATCTCAATATACGCATTTGACTGACTCTGATTTTGACTTGGGTTTCAGAATTTTGGCTCTAGAACTGATACGATCTTCTGTGGGGTTTTTGATGGCCATGGTCCCTATGGCCATATGGTTGCGAAGAAAGTGAGGGATTCTCTTCCTCTGAGGTTGAGTGCACATTGGGAGGTCAACTTGACCACCGATGATGTTCATAGAGAGATCAACCTTAATGCAGCAAGTGTAAACTCAGACGAAACAACCTCCTTTTTGTCTGCTAATGAGGAGTCCCGGGCCTCCACCGATCTCGATGGAACGGAAAAGCAACCTGAAATTTTCCTTACTTTGAAGGAGTCATTTCTTAAGGCTTTTAGAGTTATGGACTGGGAGCTCAGAATGCACCAAACCATAGATTGCATCTGTAGTGGCACTACAGCAGTGACTTTCGTTAAACAGGTCCCGTTTTGTATTAGAAAGGAAATGATTGGAATTTAGTTTCGAATAAGAAATGTGTGTTCTTTGTTTGCTCATAAAATAGTTCCTTTGTTTTTCAGGGTCGGGATCTTGTCATTGGAAATGTTGGGGACTCCCGAGCCGTTTTGGGTATGAGAGATAAAGATGACTCTCTTGTTGCAATTCAATTGACTGTGGATCTTAAGCCAAATCTTCCAGGTCTTAGCTCTTTCCTCTGTAGAGTATTATATTAGGGGCTCTACATTGTTGTTAAATATTGTTGATATGGATGAAAATGAATGGAAGCCGTAGGAAAAAGATCTTCAGATTACATATAGCATATGAAATTTACTACTCTCTTTCTTTCTCTCATTTGACTTTTCGAAATCGCCTCCCTTGTTTTCAAAATTTTTAGAAACAAGTTTAGAAACGTAGGAAACATTGTTTTGATGTTTTAAAAAACGAGCATCTTGGATTAATGTCCTGCACTTTTCGGGACAAAAGTGTTCTATTTTTCGTAGTGTTCATTGTTTATGAAAGTACTTAGTTTTCTCGAGTCTAAATACTTACAATCGTACCGTATGAGGAAGTTTTGGACAATGGATTATATTTCTCGAATCATAACTAGCTATCTCAGTTGCTGAAGGATTTTTTATGGAAATTCTTTTACCGTAATAGCTGAAGCAGAGAGAATCCGTAAGTGTAAAGGTCGTGTCTTTGCTCTCCAAGACGAACCTGATGTTGCTCGAGTTTGGCTTCCAGACAGCAACTCTCCTGGACTTGCCATGGCGCGGGCATTTGGAGATTTCTGCCTCAAAGACTTTGGTCTTATCGCTGTACCTGAAATATCATATCGACGGCTCACTGAAAAAGACGAATTCATTGTTCTGGCTTCAGATGGAGTATGAGATCAATTTCTTGTACCATTTTCTTTCAAAACACGATTTTCCTCCCATTTTTTCTAATGTCTGGAGTGTTTGATTTCTTGTGTTTCATTTTTCAGATATGGGATGTTCTGTCAAACAAAGAGGTCGTAGATATCGTTGCATCAGCTCGAAAACGTACTACTGCAGCTCGAACTCTGGTGGAGACTGCCATTAAAGCATGGAAACATAAATACCCAACTTCTAAGATGGATGACTGTGCGGTCATTTGCCTCTTCCTTGACTCAAACTCCAGCAATCCATCTTCTGCTTCCAATAACAAACTGGATGAGCAACAAAGCTTAGTAGATCAAGTCAGTACAGCAGTTGTGGTTGAAAATCTCTGTGGCCCAAATGGTCTGAATCGTTCAGGAACCATCGAAACGAGCAAGAACATTTTGCAGGATGGAAGCGAAGAAGAAGAAGAAGATGAATGGAAGGAGGAAGAACAGTCAGAAATGGGAATAGAATGGTCTGCCCTGGAAGGGGTCTCGCGCGTAAACACTCTGGTAAACCTGCCGAGATTCGATCCTGGAAAAGAAGATAAGGCCAGCCGGAAGTGATGGAAGTACATAAGATTCATCAGTGCCTTTGTTTTGGTACGATTTTATTATATCTCATTTTTCTTGCTTCTGTTGTTCTGTTTAGAGAGTGAGAATAAAAGGAGTCATACAAATTGAAGTTGAGAGAGGTCGGACCGGCCTTATTAGTGTGTCTGGGAAATTTATCGACTCTCTCGTACCGGTAGAAATCGAGTTTTGTAGAGTATGATGATAGTAGATAGGTAAACGACTTGGCATCCGTTATTGTTCTCATAAATTTGGTTGTAATAATTGTCTGTTATTTGTAATGTTGGCAACAAATTTAGTGATTGTAAGTAAAGTAAAGGCCGTAGATTCAAGTTGGTTTGCAAATCTTGTGTTGAATTTGGTTTGATGTAGGGTGCGCATTGTTTGAATCTTGTGAGGCTTTCATGACACCCGGTACGGCTCCTCGGTCGTTTCACTCAAATTATTTGTAACAATTACAAAATGGGTCGAATCAAAAGGGTTACTCGAGATAAGACATTTGAGTTCATTCATGTATTATAAACCTTTTGTGATTTTTTTTTTTTTAATATGATCCGATTAGATTAATGATTTTGGATAATTAAATAATTAATTATGAAATCATTTGCACTAAAACTGACAAGACATGCTCTATATTCAACGTGTTCTCTCACTTGTCCGAGATAAGAATGATGCATTACTTATTCTTCGAAATTACATCTTGACAACAATTTTGTCAATATAAGATGTCCAAGACTAAGTTCACATTTATCTTAGAAATCTCTATTCATAGGATATACGGAGTCATTCCAAATCGAGAATTTGGAATTAGGTAGGTAGTCACCTTTTTATGTTAGATTGAAGTCTTACGTCATTTACACTGCGTAATATATGAGAAAAATCCATCAAATAATTTGGGTAGGTGCGTTCTTTAAGATTCATTTTCATAAAATAATTCTAAACATCCATTTGGCATATCTCGTATGTGCAAATACGAAATAGAGAAAACTTATAGACTCTATAATGGTAATAAGTGAGAAAGTCTAGTTTTAGTCTACTTTCTTCCATTATGTTCAACTCTTTGTCATTAATCTTATTTGAAAATCTGTGTCTTTTTATCTACACCTATGAATTTAACCACATCAAGAATATCTATAATTGACATGTATATCCTTGTTCATTGGCCTTACTACCTGCACTTCTGTTTAAGATTTGGAATGTGTGGGGCAAGTAGCTTACCGATTGGCCTTGCTACCTGCACTTTTGTGAGTGCACAACGTATTCTATGTATCTATGTTTGACGATGCATAGCAAATCCATCTCACATGATAGATTTCAAGTTCTTACAATTGGGTGAGAGTTTAAGATATGAAGAGAAGTTCCTGCAAATTTTAGCTAGAAAAGTGAAAACGTAGTCGAGAAACTGCGCTGGTTAAAGTTCTATGGTGGAATCACCCGTCTAAAAAGACTACATAAGAACGAGAGGACGAGATGAAGACCAAGTAATTTGTACTCTTTCCAGAGGAGTTGGACTAAATTGAAATCAATTTCCAAGTATGGAAAGAGAAACATTTTAAATTTTTATACAATATTTTAGAATATGGAAGAATAAAAAGACTTGAATTTGTTTGGAGGATGAACGGGATGAGTAAGACCATGCTTGCTATGAATTCTTCGAGGTAAGAGACTATACCGTAGGAGTCAATTTTTTTTTTTTTTTTTGTTTTATAAAAATGTTGGATATACATGCACGTATATAGCCCTACTTATATGGTTATGATATACCTTAAGCATGTTGTTATAAATACGTTTGGACTAATTTTATGCTTGATATGATTGATGTGAATAAAAATAATTTTGTAGCACATGGTGTGTTTGGGTAATCAGCCATCAAGATCATCAAGAGAGTCCAAGTCATACTAAGATGTGCCTTAATTTTAGTTTATGATTTCTCCAAACAATCAAAACATTGTTTTAGGTCACGTGAGTAATCTATATTTTTTTAGAACTTATTATTTACATAAGAATTGAATGGTCTGTATTTCCATGTGTTGTTTCGGGTTGAGCTAGATGATCTAGATTAAGGACAAGTCACGAGTGAGTGACTTCATTTTTTCTTGTTAATACTATATGTTTGTGTACACGTCCGACTCCGATAAGAGAATATCTTATTGAGTATTTTTTAGCCCACCTTTTTTTTAATGGATTTTAGGTAAAAGTAAGAATATAACACGAAAAGAACGAATATGGTCTGAAAAAGTTAGTGTCGGATGACTCCACGGAGTTTCTTTTTAAATAATTATTTTGTAAAGTAAATATTTAATTAATTGTTTTAAAACTTATCAATATGTAAAAATACATAGAAATTCTTCAAACACATAAAGTTTACGAACTCCAAATAATTTTTAGGTTGAGTTTGTTTGGTGCAAGTAGAGGTCTACGTGACTTGGATTGGGTTTGGTGGAGGAATTTTTTTTGATCCAATCCAATCCGAAAATTTTCACAATCCAACCTAACCCAACCCTCTATTTTCAGGTTGGGTTTTAGTTGTCAAATTTTTTTTTAAAAGTTTTATTTATCTGCCGTTTATAATTATTCGAATACAATCTTAGATAAAATATATTAAAAATTTACAAATAAACACAAATCGATCTATAATTATTCCTATAAAAAAATTAATAAAAAATAACATGTGAAAATGGTAATATATTAACATAGTTCAACATTATTATAAAACTAGAGACAGTTCTTGAAAAATTGGTTAAAATAGATCTACAAATTAAATAAACAATAAAGATAGATTAATTTAAATACGTTAACAAAAAAAAAAAAAAATACTATAAAATATTTTAATTGCAATGTGTGAGCATAATAAAATTAGATAAAATTAGATAGCCCTAACCTAAACAAAAAATTAAAAATAATAAAATAATATATAGAGTAATAAAATAATATAAAAGAAATTAAACAAAAAAATGTATATCTTGGCATCGAATTTGGGTGTGGGTGTCCTTAGACAGACAAACCTATTAATACGGAAAGATCCTCAACATAATTTATATATTTTTATTTGGTTCGGAACAACCCGAAGCCTTTATCCACGAACCTAAAATCGAACCGATTCAAATCGAGTTCAAAAAAACGAACCAAACCCTACCAGAAAATGTTAATCCAACCCAACCCAACCCTTATAATTCGGATTGGGTTGATCTGAGTTGTCGGGTTGAATGTATACCCCTAGGTACAAGGCTACATATGATTTCTGTATATATAATAACAAACCCAAGAAGTAATAACGAAATACTATAGCAAACCTAACGAATAAGAAAAGACATACCAAACATGAGATCGGTTAAGCTAACTCGGACTCTCCGCTCCCAAAACAGTAAACTAAACACTCGATCAATAATACACCAATAAACATTACAATATTGTTTCTATACGATTACGATTAAAATTGAGGCCAATAAGCAAATGTTAAAGGAAAGATCGTTGAAGTTATGAATATCAATGAGAACAATACAAGTTTTTGACAACGCCCAAAGAATCCTTCAGTACTTCCAAATGGATGATGATAAAGAAGGAAGTGAATAATGAAAAAGAATGAAATGGGCAGCAGAGCACAATATGTACATTGAAAAAATTGATATGAGTTTGAAAAGAATCCCTTTTAATTTGTAAAAGAATGAAGAACAGTAAGCAGTAGTAGTATTGACAGCAGCATTGATGATATTGTTCCAACTCTTACAGAAGAAGCTGAGTAAAGGTTATGAGGCCCCACTGTGTATATGGCTCCACTGTGTTCATCCCTCACCTTAATGCTTGAAGAGCCTGCAACAATGCCCCCATTGGAACAGATTCACACCAATTTGTGAATATTTAATACACTAAGGGCATGTGGGCAAAAGGAATCAAACTTTTCATTATTTATTACTCTACCCAACCTGTCGCACTGCTGTTTCAATCAAGATATTAACAACACGAATCGACTTTTCTAGTTTTCCTACTCTTATTATCAAATTTGGATTGGGGTCCTTTCTTAGATCACTCGTGCCAGCGAGGAGCTGGGCCCTGAAGGAGGGTGGATTCTGAGATTCCACATCGGCTGGAAGAGGGGAACGAAGCATTCTTTATAAGGGTGTGAAAACCTCTCCCTAGTAGACACGTTTTAAAAATTTTGAGGAGAAGCCAGAGAGGGAAAACCTAAAGAGGATAATATATGCTAGCAGTGGGCTTGGGCGGTTACATAAAGTTTTCTAATGCTAAATAAATAACTCACAATTATACTCCGTCCAGCCGATGGTCTGATTTTCCAAGTCGTAGAGTACGAGTCTATTTTGAAGCACCAAATCTGAAATCAGAAACAAATGGGAAAAATGGATTAACAATAATATGCACAATCCCGGAAAGGAACACCATTTTAGTTTTATATCTTGGGGGTGGTTACTAAGGAGCATGGATACAACACAACACAACACGACAAAATCAATAAGTTTAATCCATTTATATGCTTAAAAAATGAACTTAATACTGTTCACTCTCGAAATTTGTTCAAACTCCTGTTTGTTAAGTGTCTAATAAACGTTGGACGCATATCAACTTTGTACCGCTAGTGTCTAACATATTCATTGTGCTAACAAGTGTTCAACAAGTGTCGGAGTGTTCAAGTGTGACATGTGTTAGACATGGACATGCTAGCCGAACTAAAGTGTCGAAGTGTTCAACAGTGTAGCATTAAAGTAGGGATTCACTCAAGTTTCAAGTCTTAGGGAGTGATAATGCAAGATCCAAAGTCTTAGGGAGTGATAATGCAAGATCCCACCAATGATGGTTGGGGAAGAGAACGAAACAATCTTTATAAGTGTGTGGAAACCTTTTCCTAGCAGACGCGTTTTAAAGTCTTGAGGGAAACCCGAAAGAAAAAGCTCAAAGAGGACAATATCTACTAGCGGTGGGCCTGAGCCGTTATAGATAACGAAGTTTCATGAGCAGAAGCGATGAAATATAATAGAAATGTTCATTGTCTTTTCACTAACCTCCCAACAGAATCATATCCTTTCCATCTCTAGATTGGGCACCACTGTTCTGCCAACCGACGCACCATTTATTACTCTGCAAATTTGATCAGAAAGGTTAACAAAAAATTATCTCAGGGAAGTTTCTGTAAATACGCTTTTAAGGCTACCCCGGTATCGGTATCTCCCTTTACACGCAGAGATTTTCAAATTTGATCTTCCTAAGTAATATCAATTATTTGATTTAAAAACTAGTTGCTAAGATGCTTGTCGTTCCAAGCTCATTTCACTCACCGCAATATCAAATAGATACTCGTGAGGATGAACAGTCAAAGATAACGAATCTTCGAAATGAAATGTAATAGTAGGAAATCCATCGTCAACACTGCATGAAGAACATAAAACCCAAATGAGAAACTTAAGAAATTTCCAGATAGTGAAAACTTTTAATACACTGAGATTCATAAGAATGTTTTCATCAGGTCAAGAATACTATGCAGCATGCTAAACTCTTGTCAAGGGCCCCATTTCTTACATTATTATGCTCGTGATCACGTCCCGAAAGGCTTCTCTTATACCAAGACCAACTCTTAGGGATAACGAAGTTTCAAGTTATTAAGTTTTCGACATGAAAATGAACTCGGGGTCCTAGAGGGTATCTCCTAAGATAAAGCTACTAAATCTTTACTCATGAATCAATAAAAAACCTGACCAAATTAAGAGGACAAACTAGCAACACATTAAACAATCTTGTAAAAGGAGGATCCCTAATTGAATATCGATTCTAGAACAACGAGATTGCTATTTTAAATGCTTGGCGAAGATCGATAGAACTTGGCCAGGTAGGTATCATGCCATCTTACTTTCCGTCGTATTCGAAGCAGGTGAACTGTTCTTCAACAGTATGCAACTTCAATCCAGTCTGCCTTGCAAAAATCTAGCATAGTAAATATACAGCTTCAGTTTCTGAAACACACTTAATGCTATCAAACTTAAACTAGAAATAAATATTTTTTACATAGTGTACCTTTGCTATCAATGGTTCATAAATCACATCTGGTAAATAAGCCAACGTCGTGCCACTGTCGATAATTGTTCCTTTCCTTAAATCAGTGTCGAAAACATCCGTGGGGAGATTCAGCACTTCATCGCCAACCTCAATTGCCTTCATAAACACATTGTAATGTGCCCTACAGTGCATCATGAAATAACTAAGTCCAAGGCTACTACTTAAAAAAAGGAAGAAGAATGTTTTCGATTGAAGGTGTCGAAAAGTACTAATTGCAAGTAAGTGTAACATACTGTTGCTGTACTAATGGAGTGGTGCGAACTTTTGGCTGCACCACTTCCCCAATGGCAAAAATTCCACCTCCATTAATATTATCCAAGCAATGTGCAAAAATTCTTTTAATTTTTCCTGATGAAGCCAGCTGCGAAATCATGGATGAATTTGCTTGTCCGAAACCAAGTATCCCATCAAGTGCTGCAGATGTTGCACCTAGTTGGACAGATTGTTGAGCGCCACAACTATCCATCCGTCCATCAAGGAAGACAAAATAAGTATGAACGAAAAAGAAAAAAAAAAAACAGAAAACCAGAATGATCGATGCATTTCACAAAGTCATTAAGTAGGTGTTGAAAATTGTCCATGATCGAAATATGTCGAAACAAATAACCGAAGCAGAGGAACAACTTGAGAGGAGAATGGGAAATATAACGATTTTTCCTTGGTAGGTACTTTATTCATCGTTAAATATACACTATATACTATAAAATACGTCAAAAGTTAAACAGACGATGGGTTAGGTTTACTAATATTTATCTAAAAACATTTTTTCACTAATTCATTGTAGATGTATAAAATTTCATGATGCCAAGAAATAGAAATTCATATAAAAGAACTTGAACTTGAACTTGAACTTTTCTATATAGTCCCAAAAGATCAATTGATGGACACAGAGCAAAAACAAAAGAAAATGTATAAAATGCTATTCTTACCCAAATACTATACTCCCATTTGTAGATTCAGTTTTAAAATTTCCCGTCACTCGATCGAGTACTACATGATCCTTCACGAAATATCCTGTAGTTGAGCTTCCATCTCCATATGCAACTTTATATTCACAGAGTAGTTCAGGCCTACAGCCAGGAATCGGACCGTCGTATGTGGAAGTGCAAAAATCTTGACCACAAGTTACCAAGTTTGAAGTACTAGAGCTCGATGGATTGTATAGTGTCAATTCTATCTGTAACATAAACAGAGTATTGCTTGTGAAGCTTTGATCCATCGAAGACGATGACAAGCGACAAATGTTTGATGTAGTTCTGAATATAATTAAGAATTTAAAGTTCAAGAGACATACACCAAGATCACTTTTCCTGGGACAGTTCGTACAGCCTGCACAATTGACCCATAGGAGGTCACTTCCTGTATCCACTTGTACATAATAGTCCTTTGCTGGTGTCCCAAGCCCGATTTTAGCGAAATACAGCCTAATCCAACCGATAGAGAAGATTGAACATATAAGTATTTCCAGTTTCCACCATCCAACAACGAATATGATAAAGTGAACAATAATACTCTCTTTTATCATACAAGAAAAAGGAACTGGCCGATCTGCCACGTTCGACTCGAACAAATCCATTAAAACGAGGAACAAAAATCCAAATCCATAAGCAACTAAAAACTTGAGCAGTGATTTCATAAAGTCAAAACAAAAAAGGTAAAGATCCAAATTCCATATGGTATATACTTAAAAGAGGTAGAACAGGATCCAATCACACAGGTCTTGTTTGAAAGATCACAACAGAATACCTGAGATATGTAGTAAATTGTCCACTAAACAAGCAATTACATACAAGATCACCGCACAAAAACTACAGAAATTTCAGTATGCTAAATAACCACAACAGAAATCAAGACTAACCCAGATTCAGAAGGGTGTCCGTTGCCGCCCAAGTTGAGATCAATAGCAGAAAGAAATCTACCGCGACGGAGAACATCGTGGGCTTTGAACGCTTCCAAGGACCTCTCGCGGCCCTTGAACTTGTGATGAACATTGAACACCAAATTGCAATCCCCAGTTGACAACAACGAAATCACCAGCAAGAAGCTCACTACGGCAAGTCTTGCAATCTCCATAATCAAAACCAAACCCCCAACAAATAGAACAGAGATTCAAGCAAAACCCAGAACCTAATTTGATAAAAAAACGACGCCCAGCTCAGATTTATGGGCTAACAGCAACGGGTTACCAAGAAAACGCTTCGAAGTAGAGAATAAGGTGAAGAAACAAAATTAGAAACAGGGGAATAGAATGAACCGCGTTGAGCCAAGAGAAAAGAATTGGTCTGAATCTTCACTTGATTTTGAATAAACAAATAGATAGAAACAGTTAATTCGCACGTCTCTGTCTCTCAAATCTGGCAGTGCCGCTGTCTGTTCAATTCCATGGCCTTACCGACATCCTTCGATTGTACTGTTTTGACTACCGATTAATTACTCGAAGAAGAAAATTGAAAAGAGAGAGTGAGAGAGAGAAAGAGAGAAATAGGAAAGTCAATGGATGGTTAAATGGGTGATACCATTTTCAATGGATTGACGAAGGGATCCATATGAAAGGTCCAACTAACCTCGTTTCCGGCTTATATATCAATTTCGGACTTTTTTTCTTTTATTGGGGCTCTGTTATTTAATTGATTTCTTTTAAATTTTATATTAATTATACAAAAATAATAATAATAATAAATAAATAAATAAAAGATAGAATCTATTTGATAAAATATTTAGAAATGTATTTTTTTTAATTAATCTATTAGATACTATTTTTATTTTTTGCAAATATTAATAAATATTTTTAAAATAAATAGATAAATGTTTTATAAATTAACCTTTTTACTTTTATTAAAAATAAAAAATTGAATAAATCAATAAGAATGGTTTGGTTTGAAAAAAAATATGTATGTACTTTAGACTTTCGATGACACACCTATATTCAGTAGAATTTACCAAGCTTTTTTCAACATCTTTTTCGAGCGGTACTTTGTTTCCATGGTATACGTGGTTGGATTACACCCAACTATCTTAAATTGTTGCAACATCTTCTTCGCATAGGCTAACTACTTTAGCATGATTCAATCTTTTTTCTGGTCCACTTTAATATCGAGGTAGTATGTGAGTAATTTGAGATCAGTCATCTCAAATTCTTTCATCATTTGTTGTTTGAGCTCTTTGATGTCTCACACTTGTACCAGTGATGATTAAGTCATCAACGTACAAGCCAACTATGAGTGTTTTAGCTTAATAAGTTCTTGTGTACACGGCTTGCTATTGTGATCACTTCATGAACTACTAAAACTCTTCAAGCTCTTGTCTAGGTGTAGGATCCACGTCCCTCGGTGCTTATCATAGACTATAGAGGGTCTTTGAGAGTTTGTATACTTTGTGCTCTTCAATTTGGACGACGAAGCCTTCAAGTTGGGCAATGTATTACTTCTTTTAGGGTCACCATTTAGGAACACTTATTTGAAGACCTTAAAATCAACTCATTGTTCCTACATGTTTGCCTTTTCTACAAGTCTTGCTTTGTGCTTGATGATGTTTCCTTCACTATTCTTCTTCAGCTTAAACATCCATTTCAAACTGATGGGTTTGTGACTGAGCGATATGTTGATAAGTGCTCACATCTTATTTTTCTTAATTGCTTCAAGTACAACGTTGTCTTAGTTGGCTCCTCGGCAGAAAGCAACACTAGCTCGTTGGGATCTAACTCTTCTTCAAAGCATCTATATAGATTTTAAAGAGAGGAAAAAATTTCTTTAGTCCATCATCTGATGTGGATCCTCTTGCACTCTCGTATGAATTTTCTTGTATATAAGAACTCCACGTCTTTTAGAGTCACTAGTAATTCGGCGTGTGGACTTTTTGGTATTGATGTTGACACACTTTTTAGGTCTACCTTGTCTCCTCGTCTTCTAGAATTGTGAACTTTGCAATAGTTTGCAATAGTCTAGTTGTTCTCACTAATACTTTATCAATCACACTTCTTTTCTTCTTTGAATACGACATATTTACTCACGTGCATTTTCTCATGTTGAGGACCATACAACTTGTGTGTCGATCCCATCCTCTACGCCAAAGTACACCATCTTTTGGCTCCTATCATCAAGCTTCTTGATATATGGCTCGATAGTCTTAACATGTGCTATACAACCGAAGATTCTCATATGCTCGAAGTGAGGTTTCTTATCAAACCATACTTCGTAGGGGGTATGAGTGCCCAGTGTCACAATCGCACTCTTGATGGCAGCGGACTTGCGATTGTGCGGCACTCACTTTCCAACGACAAGTGAGCTAAGTCAAACCGTTCTTATGCCGCCTACGGCCAAGCGACGTATGCTTGAGCCTCTAGCCTCGGTTTAAGAAGAAGGTTTTAGAAAACGAAGGCAGAGAAATATTTTTGAAAGAGAGATTTTGAAAGAGACGTTATATATGCAAGTAAGAGAGTAACAACAACGGCTCACAGGATATAACTATTGGTAGGGAGAAGTTGACAACCAGTCATATTCCCCTCTAATACATTTTGAGGCATTTCATGTCTGGCAAGCCTAGACATGATTTTTCCGAAACGTCATACTTCCTAGAAATACAAAAGTAAAACACTAGAACATGGAAAGACATAAAGGGTTTGGCTTGTCATGGGCATGTGGCCATGGGCAACACGCCTTGGACGAGCATGACCGTGACATCTTCCCCCACCTAATTGGTTGACGTCTCTGTCAACCGACTACTTTCAAACCTAGCGATGTGGGTGGCGGCAGAGTCTAGATCTTCGGCACGTCCCCAGCTGATTTCTTTTACATGGAGATTCTTCCATTTGACAAAGAATTCAGAAATCTTCCGTATGGGTCTTCCTATCTTCCTAACCCTGTCGGCTAGGATCTCCTCTATTTCTTTGGTGTCTCTTTGTTTCAGATCGATACTCAGTCTAGTGATTACATTTCGCTGGTCGACATCTGGGTCAGGGTGATAGGGCTTCAAGTTGATCACATGAATTTCTGGGTGGATTTTCATACATGTGGGTAGCGCAACTTTGTAGGAAGTAGCCCCGATCTTTTTAAGGACTTCAATCGGGCCTTCATATTTTCGAACTAGTCTCTGGTCCTTTCGACTGTGGAATCTGATTTGTTCTGGTCTCAACTTGATGAGGACTTGGTCTCCTACTCGGAATTGGAGGGGGCGACGCTTCTTGTCCGCCCACTTCTTCATATGCTTGGAAGCTTTCTCCAAATATGTCCGGGCTATATCTATTGTCTACTTTCATTCCCTGGTGAAATTTTGAGCTTGAGAGTTTTTTTCTGCATAAGGATGATCAATAATATGAGGCAAGGTCGGCTGTCGTCCACTTACAATTTCGAAGGGACTCTTTCCCATAGACAAACTCGTTTGACAATTGAAACAGAATTGGGCGACATCTAGTAGTTGTATCCAGTTCTTTTAGCAAGCGTCGACGAAGTGACGTAAGTATTCTTCGAGCAAGTAGTTGAACCGTTCCGTTTGTCCATCGGTTTGAGGATAATAGCTCTAGAAGATGTTTAAAGTCGTTTCCAAGAAGACGAATAACTCGGTTCAGAATGTGTCAACGAATCTACCATCCCTATCGCTGATGATGCTCGATGGAATGCCCCATAACTTTACAATGTGTTTGAAAAATAGTTGGGCTGTTAGTTCAGCTGAGCATAATTTGGGAGTGGGAACGAACATCGCGTATTTCGAGAATCGGTCTACGACAACCAAGATGACGTCATATTCCCCGACTTTTGGGAGGTGTGTTATGAAGTCCAGATACACACTTTTCCAAGGCCTTGTTGGCACGGGTAGAGGTTCCAAGAGCCCCGAGACTTTGGCTTTCTCGAGTTTGTTCTGTTGGCAGATGAGACACGTCTTGGTGTACTGCATGATGTCGTCCCGCATATTTGGCCAGAAGTATCTCTTTTTGATTAAGGCATATGTTCGTTGCCACCCAGGGTGTCCGGCCCATAAAGTATCATGACATTCCTAAATGAGCTTCTTCCTCAATTCTCCTGTTCTTTGAACGTATAATTTGTTTCTTCATTAGAAGGTCTCCCTTGACCCAAAACTGTCGTGTCTTCCCAGCTTTGGCTAGTTCAACGACGACTTTAGCTGATGAGTCTTTATATAAATGTTCTTTGATGATGTCGCACATCGATCCATCGATCTTACTTGAGTGAATATGGGCTAACATGCACAAGGCCGCATGTTCGCCCTTCCGACTCAGCTTGTCGGCTGCTTGGTTACTCTTTCCTACCTTGTGTTCAAATTTGAAGTCGAATTCAGCCAACGACTCCTGCCACCGAGCTTGTTTTGCCATCAATTTCGGTTGATCGAAGAAGTAAAAAATGGCGCTGTTATCCATCTTCACTACAAATTGTGATCCCAAGAGGTATTGTCTCCAGACTCGTCGGCAATGGACCACAACCAACATTTCTTTTTCAGAGACATCCTTTCAGCATCATTGAGCTTTCAACTTTCATAAGCGATGGGGTGGCCTTCTTGAATACGTACACCGCCTAGAGAAAAGTCGGAAGCATCTGTCTCTATTTCAAATGATTTAGTAACATCTACTAATTTGAGAACAGGACCCTTCGTCATGGTTGCCTTCAGATCTTCAAAGGTCATTTGACATTCATTTGACCACGACCAAGGGTGGTCTTTCTTCAGGAGTTCTGTTAATGGGGCAGCTCGTCGTGAAAACCCTTCGATGAACTGCCTATAGTAGTTTGCCAATCTTAGGAAGGATTGCACATCGGATACGGAAGTAGGGATTTTCCACTCTTGGATAGCTTTTATCTTATCGTTATCCATACCGATCTATCCACAACTGATGACATGTCGAAGGAAGTTGATACATGTTTGTGCGAAGGCACATTTTTCTTTTTTGTCGTACAACTGATTTTGTTGCAGCTTGTCAAACACTAGCTTCAGGTGCACCTTGTGTTCCTCCAAGGTTGTACTGTATATAACTATGTTGTCGAGGTATACTACGACGAATTGATCCAGGTATTCGTAGAAAACGTGATTCATTAACGTGCAAAACATAGCTGGGGCGTTTGTCAAGCCAAAGGGCATTACCAGGAACTCAAAGGCCTCATATCTTGTTACACACGCCGTCTTGGGCTCGTCCCCTTCGGTGATATGTACTTGGTAGTACCCTAATCGTAAGTTCAACTTTGTGAAGTATTTGGCCCCGTGAAGCTGGTCAAACAAGTCGGATATTATCGATAGTTGGTATTTGTTGCGTACCATCACCTTGTATACGACTCTATAATCTATGCACAGACACAACATCTCATTCTTCTTTTTCTGAAATAGTACGGGGGCTTTGTAAGGTGCCTTTGCCGGGCGGATGAATCCTGCTGTCAACAACTCATCTAGATTTTTCCTCAATTTGGCTAGCTCAGGGGAAGCCATCTGGTATGCGTTCTTTGCTGGGGGTTTAACCCTGGGGAGGAGTTCAATTTCGTGATCAATGCCTCGACGGGGTGGTAGTGTTTGTGGTAAGCTCTCCTGGCATTATGTCAGCATAACTGTCTAGTACATCATTGATTTTGCTTGGAATAATTTCCTCAATGGTCATTTCTTCCATCAGGGGTATAGCCATAAATGAAGGTTCCTCTCATGCGAGTCATCTTTTTAATTGTATGACTGAGATCATTCTAAGATTACCTGGTTGCTTGATGCTTGCAAGTATTACTTTGGGGTCGTGGTCGGTGATCACCAAGCATTTCGCTAGTATCATTGGTATAACTTTGTGTTCTAGGGGAAAGTCCATCCAAGTACTACGTCGAAGTCGTCCATGCGAACCACAACAAGGTCCATTTCTCCTGTCCAAGTCCCTAATTTGAAGGGGACTTTTTTGGAGACTCCCACAATAGGCAAGGCCTCGGAATTGAAAGCTTTCATTTTTCCGGGATCCTTTTCTATGGTGAGTCCTAATCTTTGTGCTTCGTGGTCGGCGATGAAGTTGTGGGTCGCACCTGAGTCTATCAAGGTGCTCTTGTTTGGTCGGGAGTTTATTGTTGCATCTACGAACATGAGCCCTTTCTCTATTATCTCCTTTGGGTCGACCTTCCGTTGGAGGGCTGACAATAATTTAAGCACACCCATTCGGAGGTTGTCTTGATCTTCCCTTTTGTCTGGCATAGTCTTGACTCCAGTGTCATTGCTCTCTTGAATAGACACTTGGAGTGCACTGAGAGAGGCCCGATGAGGATAGTAGGATAGTTTGTGGGGGCCTTTACACAACAGGCATTGTAAGGGTGCCGTCGGGTAGTTCTTTTGAGGATAAGGTCCTCGAGATGTCTCCACTTGGTTATTCTGAGGAGGTTTGTCTATTCACCCACTTGGTCTGTCGTTACTTTCGTTTGGCCAATTGGGGCCTTCATTTCGATGACCTGGTGGTCTATATGTTTTGCCTCCAGTGTTTGGGGCCTGTGTTGTTCTTCTTTGGAAACTCGCTTCGTTCCCAAAGTCTAGGAGTCTCTCGGCGCTGGCGATTGCGGTAGCTAGGTCTTGAACCTTTTTCTCGTGTATTTTTGTTTTGGCCCATGGTTGTAACCCATTTATAAAGAAAAATACTTTGTCTTTCTCTAACGTGCCCCTGATATCTAGCATCAGGGTCGAAAACTGCCTGACATAGTCCCTTATGCTTCCAGTTTGTTTCAGGGTTATTAGTTTTTCCATTGCCACATGTTCTACGTTTTCAGGGAAGAATTGGTCCCTCAATTCTTTCTTGAGGTCTTCCCACTAGTCAATGGTGCATAATCCATTCTCGATGTCTTGCACCTTCGTATGCCACCAAAAGTTTTGCATCGTCTATTAGATACATTGAGGCTACTGTCACTTTTCTGTCGTTTGTACAAGCCGTTGTGGCTTTGAAGTACTGTTCGACATCAAAGATGAAGTTCTCCAACTCTTTGGCGTCCCAGTTCCCTTTGAAAGGTTTGAGGTAGGGAAACTTCAGTTTGTTGGATCCTGTATGAGTTTTCCTAACCGTGACGTTCTCCACGGCTTTCATGGTCACCCCAATTCGGGTGTTCATGTCGGCCATCTTTTCTTGGATGGCATCGATCGTTGTTTTGAATTCGTCAGCTAATCCATTAAACATATTCATCATGGTATTTTGTAGCATGTCGAACTCTTCGCCACGTCCCTCCTTGTGCATGACAGAGCTATCGGGGCTACCAAAAGGTCTTGAGCTGCTCGTAGGAGCAACTCTTTCTTCGAGCGAGGCCACTCGAAACATTAGCTTTGCGATTGGCAACCCATCAAGGCGATTGTCCATTGCGTCGATTTCTATGACTTTTCCATTCAATTTTGTCACCCGTGCTTCCAGGTAGCGGATGGTGTCAAGGACTTCTTTGAGGAACAACATTTCTTCCTCTATTAAATTAAGTCGGTCGGCTTGTGATTTGGGTGTTGACTTTGTCGTCGACATAGTTTCGGTCTTTGCTATGTCATGGAGCTAACAAAGCTCTGATACCACTTGTCACAATCACACTCTTGATGGCAACGGACTTGCGATTGTGCGATACTCACTTTCCAACGACAAGTGAGCTAAGTCAATTCGTTCTTATGTCGCCTATGGCCAAGCGACGTTGCTCGAGCCTCTGGCCTCGATTTAAGAAGAAGGTTTTAGAAAATGAGGGCAAAGAGAGATTTTTGAAAGAGACGTTATATATGCAAGCAAGAGAGTAACAACAACGGCTCACAGTATATAACTATTGACAGGGAGAAGTTGACAACTAGTCATATCTCACTATAGTACATTCTGAGGCATTTCATGTCTGACAGGCCTAGACATGATTTTTCCGAAATGTTATACTTCCTAGAAATACAAAAGTAAAACACTAGAACATGGAAAGACATAAAGGGTTTGGACGAGCATGATCGTGACACCCAGCGCCTTTGTCAACAAATGATTTAGAAGGTAAACCGCATGTCGTATTGCCCCACCCTAGAAAATCGATGAGACTTGCATCATTTGAGTATTTTTTTTTTTTTTTTGGTATTCATTATGACATGGTTTATTTGCTCAACCATGCCATTTTGTTGTGGAGCGTACGGTGCGGTGATTTAACGGTCGATGCCTTACTCTTTGCACAACTGTGAGAAGTTTTGGGATAAGAATTCACCACTTTGGTTGGTGCGCAAGGTTTTTAATTTGTGGCCAGAACCATTTTCAACGAGGCTTTTAAATTTCTTGAACACACAGTGCCTCTTCTTTGTCTCTATCATATACCCACACCCAAAGCCTATAATCGTCAAGTAATGGATAATACTTGTTACCATAAATTGACGATAGAGTGATCGGGCCAATAAATCCATATGCACCAGTTGCAATGGTCACTCAACATGAAAACTTGTTTGAGCTGGAAACGACACTCTTGCTTACTTGGAGACTAGGAAACTTTCACATAGTTGGTTAAAATGTATGATTTTGGGTAGCCCCATAGCCATCTTATTCTCTCACATCATTTTAAAAATTCACATGCACAAGTCTTGCATGTCATAGCGAGGCTGGGTTCTAGTTGGTCTCAAAGAGTATCTTGTACAAGTGGTTTTTCGACCAATTTACCTTCACAAGCAAGGCTTCGTTGGTATCTAACATCTTGAGGAATGAGTCGATTAACTCCACTTTGCTGCCTTCTTTTATCATTTGACCAAGACCAATAATATTACTCTTCAAGCTTAGGATGTAATATGCCTTCGTTAGTAGACGTTGATGGCTATTCTTAGCCTAGAATAAGATGGATTTAGCTAGATTATGGAAGGCCAAGTGATAAGGAATCAACCCAATGGAAAACTCTAATACCAAATGATAAAGAATCAACCCACAAAAGAAGCTCTGATACCAAATGTAAGGGAAGTAAAATTCAGATTATTTTGTTTATTGAATATCTCAAAGAAGAAAATTTGTTTTGAGATTCAAATTACTTACTTAAGATCAATCATGTCAAATGACTCTAAACATGCAATCTAAACATGGTAAAGGAAAGCACAAATGCTCATTTTAGTACATTATCCGAGTCACATTTACAAAGACAACATACATCACTTCATACAACCTCAAAAATAAAAACTCTTTGACCTTCCTTGAGTCATTCCAAGAGTCGTAATTTTCATACGTTATGACCATAATTTAGCCACTATGTATACTTTATAATTATAATTAACCACTAATTAAATGTAGCTTTAAACTAAATAAAAAGTCTTAAAATACATTAATGAAATACCATAACTCTAAATTATCATCCACTTGTCACGGTCATGCTCGTCCAAGGCATATTGTCCATGGCCGCATGCCCATGACAAACTCAACCCTTTATGTCTTTTCATATTCTAGTGTTTTACTTTTGTATTTATAGGAAGTATGACGTTTCAAAAATATCATGTCTAGGTCTGTCAACATGAAATGTCTCATAATGTATTATAGGGAGATACAACTAGTTGTTAACTTCTCCCTACCCAAGGTTATATACTGTGAGCAGTTGTTATTTCTCTCTTGCTTGCTTATATAACGTCTCTTTGAAAAATCTCTCTTTCGAAAATCTATCTTTGCCCTCGTTTTTTAAAACCTTCTCTTAAAACCGAGGCTAGAGGCTCGAGCATACGTCGCTTGACCGTAGGTGATGTAAGAACGAATTGGCTTAGCTCACTTGTCGTTGGAAAGTGAGTACCGTACAATCACAAGTCCGCTGTCTTTAAAAGTGCGATTGTGACAAGGGAATAATCAAAGAATAAATAAAGTTTGATTCTTCTTTAATGTGATGTGACATGAGTTAGAACAACTTGGGATAATTTGAGCCACATTTTTTTTCACATATTCCTTCGAGTTTATATGGCATGATTTACCATGGGATCATCACCAATTATTTTGAGAGCTATTGTTAAACAAATATTAGTTTGGGGGTTATTTTTCCAATTTTAAATCCCTATTTTCTTACATTTTAATATTTTTCTTTATAAAACTTTCCTTATTTTGGATGCTTTTTCCTTCTTGTACGCTTTCTATCATTAAAAATTGTAAAATGACCATATTGGCCTTTTCTTCTTATCTTTAACCTATAAACTATGTTCGGGAGTTACATGTCATGTCTCGTCATGCTCAATCAATAGAGAGAGAAACAAGATTTACGAGCAAAAGTAGAGATTCAACTCCAAATTTGTATTTATGATTATAATATATATTATAGAAATGGAGATGTGTGTTATAATATATAATTGATCATACTTGCAATGGGTCAAAGAAAATGAAGGGTTTCACACTTTTGGTATAGAAAAATCCGTTGGTGTATGGTTCATAAACAAATGTATTGAGAAGCTCGTGGATTGCTCAAGATTTGAAATCAATTTCATTGGAGGAAACAAAGTGATGAGAAATTGAATCGCAATTGGTGATAGAGGGAGAAAGAGCGAGGAAAGGGCACAATGATGGAATGAGGAAGATTCAGAAGGCGATGCGACTCTTTGGTTTACAAAAATTGTTTGGAAGATGAACAAACTCCCTGTCGGTTTCCAAGAAGAAAATTAGGAAGTCAATCTTCAACGCCGGGGACATAGCCGGCATCACCTGCGCCTATACATGCACTTTCCTCCACGTTTCTCAAGCTCCACACCAGAGAAAGCTCGGATCTGATTCAGGAACACCCATTTGGAGACGACCATGTGTGGGATTTTCGCGTATTTGAATTACAATGTCCACAGAGACAGGCGCTTCATTCTTCAGGTCTTGTTCAATGGCCTCCGCCGTTTGGAGTACAGAGGCTACGATTCTGCCGGAATCTCCGTTGATTCTTCGCCCTTTTACTCTCAATTCACTTCCGATCTCAACAATGCTCATTCCGTTCCTCCTCCTCCTCCCCTCGTCTTCCGTCAGGCTGGCAACATCGATTCCCTCGTCAAATCTGTTCACTCCGGTAATTCTTCTTCTACTTTTTTCTTTTGTCTCTCTGTTCTTTAATTAATGGCGGTCTTCTGAATTCGGATCTTCACCCTATTTGGTTCACGTTAAAACTTGGGAGAAGAGAGGGATTTGTTTGTCGTATTTTCATTCTTGGGTATCAATTAGCAGTTGATTGTGAGTAAACTGTTCGTAATTGGGTCGGATCATGGCCGGAAATGACAGCATGATCTCACATCACACACTTCTGGTTTGTGTTTGACACTCTGTTTTCACAAGGAGAAAGGACACTGCCAGAGCAAAGCAGCTGTTTATGCTTTCGCTCCTTTCTCTCTCTTGTTCCTTTGGTGATAGTTTATTGTGGTTGTACCACCACCTTTTTTTTTGTTGTTGGAATTTTAGTCAAAGCTAATTGTGGCAGTGTAAAATTTTCAGAGGTTGAAACAATCAATTTGAATTTGGAAGAACAATTCTCTGTTCATGCTGGGATTGCACATACCCGTTGGGCTACCCATGGAGAGCCAGCTCCAAGGAATAGTCATCCTCAGACCTCTGGTCCTGAAAATGAATTTCTGGTTGTTCACAATGGAATTGTTACTAACTATGAGGTTTGTTTGAGAGATATCCAATACCTTTCTCTATTTATATTCTCTTATACAACCGATGAAAGCAGTGGATATTTGAACCTTTGACCTCATGTAACGGTGTAAATGTTTTAAATGCCGAGCTACACTCATGTTGAACTGTTCATAACGCTCCAAGTTATATTTTTACTTCTATGAGTATTCTACTCGAGGGGATTTCGTGCTAGTAATGCACTTATCTTCAACTATTCATAACTCTCCAAGTTATATTTTACTTTTATAATTTTGTTTGCTCCAATATTTGATTTTCTCTGCACTAGGTGCCCTTCTGTTTGACCTTCACCGAAACTCTTATTTTCAGGTCTTAAAGGAAACTCTAGTCCGGCACGGTTTTGTTTTTGAATCTGATACAGACACGGAAGTAATTCCAAAGCTGGCAAAATTTATTTTTGACAATGCAACGGAAGGTATGATAAACTTTTGCTAAACACAGTTGCAGTTTACCAGAATATGTTATTTATTGATGCCATGAATTTAAAAACAATAACTTGTACATTGTTGTTGAGAGTTGAACAATTTTCTATTCACATACTGTGGCAAACTGCATTGACGAAGCCTAATTTGACATGAAATATCTTGTTATGAGAAAAGCCCTCGGTTACCTTCATTCAATTTATCATAGTTGTCTGGTTCCCTCAGTTCCTATAACTTTTTTTTGTAATTGGTATTTGTTCAGATGGAACAATTCTTCTGGATCATTGCAGTCTTTTACCTATTGAACTTCTATTAGAAACTGTAAAGACTTCTTTAGAGCAATTCCCACCGGCCACTTAGCTTCTTTAATGAGTAATTTAAAATTTTTATCTGCTTGTGTATTTTTAGTCGAAATGCCACCTGCCACGCATTCACGTTATGGATGTTCTCATCTAAATAGTTTGTCTAGTGTTTATCAGAAAATCAAATTTCGGTTAATGAGGGATCATGTGAGTATGATCTTGTTTTACAGGTGGTCAGGCTGTCACATTTAGTCAAGTTGTGCTTGAAGTTATGAGGCATCTCGAAGGCGCTTATGCTCTTATTTTCAAAAGCAGACATTACCCAAATGAATTGATTGCTTGCAAACGTGGTAGTCCATTGATCCTTGGAGTTAAAGTAAGTTAAGAAGTGACTATATGCTCCTCCAACTCGGCAGGCCAAGTTTTTTTTTTGGAGTAGTTCGCCTTTTATATCTTTTACTTTCTCTTTTTTCCCATTTTCTTTGAAGTTAATCAAAGCATATGAATACTATGCTGTGGGTTTCATAAACATCCAAACGTATTCTGATACTATTCTGATTATTATCCATCATGTCAGTATTTGACATTGACTTTTGTAGGATAGCTCTTTGAAGTTAGTAAGAAAACAGTTTTTGGAAAATTTGAGGTCATGTTTTAAGTTATGATATTTATAATGATTTGTATATATATTCTTGTTTAATAACTAAAATGTTCCAAGATTTCAATGAGGATTGTCCTTGTCACATGGGAATGATACTTGCAATGTAGACATCGTTCATGTTTGAATTCCAGTAACCACATTTGATGTTGTGATTTTCCCTTTCGTGCTTAAAATTCTAACCAGAGAGAGACTCCATTCAAGTTCAAATTTCGTTATGGTGAAATAACTTTTTCAACGGAACTTCTGTTCTGTGGCTTTTTATAATACATTGGTTAACTTTGACTAATATACTCTTCACTTGGAAATGTCACCTTCCTTGCCTCTAACTTCTCTCTTCCTCTTTTTTTGTTTTTACTTTAATTCCTATGTTAGGATTTAGCTGAACCTACCTGCAATGGATCAGCAGCATTCAACGATGACAAGTTTCTTTCGAAAAATGGACACCCGAAAGAACTTTTCCTATCCAGCGATGCTAATGCCGTAGTTGAACATACAAAGAAAGCTTTGGTGATAGAGGATGGTGAAGTTGTTCATATCAAGGTTTTATTTTCTTTCATTTACACCTTAAGAACTTTTGTGTTGCAGCCATAATTAGCTGGGTTTTCAACCTGTTCTTTCGAACTCGGCATTTTTCTTCATTTCTTCCAGGCATTTGCTTTTATAACTTTACATGTTGGTTTTGACTGATGAGAAAGTTGTGTAAGCCTTGTTCTTATTGAGAAATAAATCATTAATAGTATGAAGGGAGGTTTAATATTTTCTTACGCCAACTCATCACACCAAAATATGGAACGTCCATAGGGTTGTTTATCAACTTTGGGGCATAGTTTGACGTAGGATTCCTCTTCCTAAACTTCAGAAGCAAAGCAAATTAATCTGATAATTGTTAGTTCAAATTACACAGAAAGTGTTAGTTTTGATTGTTATAAACAAAGGGATCTTATGTGGTTTTCCCTAGGATGGAGCTGTATCCATATTGAAGTTTGACAAAGAGAAGGGGAAAAGTTGTGGATCTCTTTCTAGACCTGCATCGGTCCAACGTGCACTATCTATTCTTGAAATGGAGGTCGAGCAAATAAATAAGGGAAATTATGAGCACTACATGCAGAAAGAAATTCACGAACAACCTGAATCTCTAACGACCACTATGAGGGGGAGGCTAATACGTCGGACTTCTTCTAAAGATAAAACTCTTCTTCTGGGTGGACTAAAGGATCACCTTAAAACAATAAGGCGAAGCAGGCGTATCGTTTTTGTCGGTTGTGGTACAAGCTATAATGCTGCTTTAGCTGCCAGGCCTATCCTTGAAGAACTATCTGGTACTGACTGTTAGATTAGAAGTAGACCTTTCAATAGTAAAAATTGGTGGTTACTGAACTTTTCGTACTTCGCTTTCCTTGTCTGATGTAGGTGTTCCCGTTACAATGGAAATTGCTAGTGATCTCTTGGATCGCCAAGGGCCAATATACAGAGAAGATACGGCTGTTTTTGTCAGTCAATCTGGTGAAACTGCAGATACTTTACACGCCCTGGAGTATGCTTTAGAAAATGGAGCTTTGTGCACTGGTATTACGAATACGGTTGGTAGTGCAATAGACAGGAATACACATTGTGGAATTCATATAAATGCGGGTGCTGAGATTGGCGTTGCAAGTACAAAAGTGAGATTGATTCACCCAACCCTTTTTTTTCTTTGATCCAATTTGATATTGATGGCCTTTGTTAACTTAGAAAACTTAACAGGCATACACAAGTCAAATAGTTGTGATGGTCATGATGGCTCTTGCAATTGGTGGGGACTCAATCTCCCATCAAAGAAGAAGAGAGGCTATAATAGATGGCTTATTTGACTTGCCAAGTAAGTCTCGTTTTACTTAATTTATATTCCTTCTTCGTATATTTATTTGCTCGGTTTTAAATCCTATTTTAGACTTTAAGCCTTATGTTTATTTTGTTTTAGTCTCTAAGCTTTCAAACGTTTTGTCTTAGTACTTCGACTTTGCATAAAAGATCATCTGATATATTCGTAGAACCTAAAAGCGACACATTTTATTCGTTTACTTGATCAATTGATATTTTCATGGATCAGTTTTAGACGTCGTTGTAGTATGTCAAGTATCGCATGATTATGAAAATTTACTGCTGACCAAAATATATAATATTTTGATAGTCACGAAAACCAAACCTTTAAAAGTTTTAAAACCAAAACGAAACGGGTTCGAAAATTCAAGGTCTGAAACAAGATGTAGACCTCATTTTTCTAATTAGTCTTTACCATTTTGATGTGAGCGTTCAGAAAGGGTTCTTGTTTAGGTAACAAAAGTCACAAGTTAAAGTTACTTTTGAAATTTATAATTGCAGACAAAGTGAGGGAAGTGCTGAAACTTGATCAGGAAATGAAGGATCTTGCGGAACTATTGATTGCCGAGCAGTCACTTCTTGTATTTGGGAGAGGATACAACTATGCTACAGCGCTTGAGGGTGCTTTGAAAGTAAAGGAAGTGGCCCTAATGCACAGTGAAGGATTGCTTGCCGGGGAAATGAAACACGGTCCTTTAGCATTGGTCGACGAAAACCTCCCAATCGTTGTCATTGCTACACGTGATGCTTGCTTCAGGTTTAATTCCTTGCTGCTGTAAACTTGTATAAATTTTCTGGGAACTTAGTTTACTGAAAAATCAATCTGTTAACAGCAAGCAGCAGTCTGTCATCCAACAACTTCATGCTCGCAAAGGTCGCCTCATAGTAATGTGTTTCAAAGGGGATGCCCAAAGTGTGTGCCCTGGAGATTCCTGTAGAGTAATAGAAGTTCCCCACGTCGAGGATTGCCTTCAACCCGTCATTAATATCATTCCATTACAGGTATTTATACTGACTTTTGTTGGTTACTCGATTGACCTGAAACGTAACAACAAGCACAATAGTTCATTTATATACTAGTGAAATTTGAGTTAAAGGGCTGATGGTTATATCATAAGTTCGTCCGGTTTTATCTAATTGATCCGTAAACTTTCGATGTGATGTCTTATATGCCCTTATTAGATATTTTTTAAAATTTAGGACTTGCTAGACGAGTTTGGAGACCTACTATTCATTAGGCATAAGAGTGAAGGGGGGATCAAACTTATAAATTGACCAAGATTAATATGCTTCAAGAAATTTCAAAACAGAACTTAAATATCAAATAATCCTAATTCTAAATAGCATAATGTAACAGTATAAAACAGACTAGAAGATATGATAGTGAGTAAATTGAGATTTGGAATAGTTTTTGGTAGATATCCATGGTTAAAATGGCAGTATATTTGTGTTGGATTATGATATTCGCATGTTCTGTTCTGGTGGGTGCAGTTATTGGCATATCATCTCACTGTTCTTAGGGGATATAACTGTGACCAACCTAGGAATCTTGCCAAGAGTGTGACAACCGAGTAGTTGACTAGACCAGCATTCACAATATCCTTCTCCCTCCCACTCTTAACCCCCTCGTGTGGTTTCGACTTCTGTGTGCTACGCTGCTCAGCATCTCTCCTCATAGGTTGGAACTCTTGATCTTCTGTTGATATGATTTTAACTGAGGCTGTGACTTGTTCTTTGTAAGTTAGCAGATAATCGTGGGAGCTGGGCTTCCACAATTCTATTCATTTTGGAAGATGGTGTGTTTGGTTAACATTATCATGATATGTTTTACTTTGCTTCATTCTTATTTAACCATTCTTATTCCAACTTTTGGGAACCTTCTCTCCTCTTCACCCATGTTTACTGGAGTACTTATGAATGGTATGATACCTTTTCATTTTAATTTTGTGTCTAATTCATTCCCTATTTAATGTCCTTCAAAATTTTAAAGTTTGGGTAAACTTTTAATTTTTTAGCTAATAGGTACCTGAATTAAAATAAAATCAAATCAAATCAAAACAAAAGCTTTTTAATGTAAAAAAAAAAAAAAAAAAAAAAAAGTTTAAAATGCTCATTTATATTAAATATATCAAAAAAGCTTTTGTAGTATTTTATGTTAAAAATTCAATCTATATATATATATATATATATATTTTTTTTGTTAAACTAAAATATGTATAATATACTATAATATAATATAACAAATAATAATTATACCAAATTTTTAAAAATTAAAGGTTGAGGAGGTACATTTTACATTATTTGTATTATCTATATTCTTGTACACATTTGAAATCATCCATTAGTGTACATTCTTTGTGTTCATCTAGATCTGAGTATGTGAGTTGTACAATCTTAATTATCGGTATCAGAGCCAGCCATACTAGTTTCACCACGATCTGTGAAAATGGAAAGCTTAGAGATTGGAATTGAGTAGTTTGATGGATATGAGTTCAATTTTTGGAAGATGCATACGGAAGATTATTTGTTGGAAGATGCATACGGAAGATTATTTGTACTAGATAGATCTTCATGAACCCTTGTTCGGGGTGAAATCGAATACCATGACCATAAAGTAGTGGAAACTCAAGGATCATCAGATTGATCCGGTTGACGCTATCTAGAAACGTGATGTTCAACGTTATTGGTTCTATTAAAAGTGCTATCGAATATAAAAATGTGTATTTGATGCATAAATTGTTGTTGGATTTGTTGCAAATCTTTAGATGTTTGAATATAAGGATTGATAAAAGTATTAAAACAATTGGCATGAATAAGGTATAGGTGATGGGTACAATAATTTACTTGGTCAATGTCTTCGGGTTCTTTTCTTGTCTTCAAAACTCTTTTACTTTTCCATCCAAGCCGTTCGGTTGATTGATGCTCTCGTAGGCTTAGCTTGCATATAAATTCTCGGGTCCCAAGTCCCAAATCCTGCATCCGTCGAGAACATTTCAATTTTAGCTTCATAAGTTTTTTTTTTTTTTTTTTTTAAGACAAAATTTCAAGTACGAGAACAAGAATTTAGTATTTATAATAATAATAATAAAAATTTTGAGGCATTCAATCAGGAATTACAGGATCGATGATCTCCTCAATGAGTCCAGTCTCCATTTTGTGACTGATTATTATTAACGGTGACAATCAAAGTTTGACTGACTAAATCCATGCATTTCTATAATGTATTAATAGAAATTGAACAAGAAAAATCACACCATTTACGATTATAGAAATCATGTGAACTCTTAGTTGTACTCTGTACCCAAGATTAAAATCGAGTCACGTTTTAATAAATATAAATCTTCTCAATTATTTAAATATTTTGTGATTTAGTCGTATACAAATTCATGATATAGGATACTTTCAAGGAGATGTTTCTACCTGAATAATTTGGATTTGGATCGAATCATTTGTAATGATAAGTGGGTTGTAATATTAGTATTGCTAGATATGACACCTAAAGTTATCTATGTACTATAGACGGATTAGGTTATTTCTTGAACTTGATCATCTCATATATCAACTATATTTTCTTTAACATTACATTAACCACCTTGAATTTTTTTTACAGATAATATTAAATTACAAAAAATATTATTAAAAAATAAATAATTGATTACGAGCGTTTAGGGAATTCCAATAATCTCCCACTTGCACCAAAGTCGATAACACACGTGTCCTAAGAAATACTTAGAGCCAACATGTTATCCTATTTGTCCTACAGAAATTGAAACATGTCTCGTAATCTTAGATATTCTAGATAACACTAAAAAAATTTAGTCTCGAGAGTGTTTTTGTGTAGATCACAACGATTGTCATAAAAAATCATCGTAGTCACTACCACGATATATAGTTTCCTAGACATTGATGTTTTCTAATTTATTTTAGTATTAGTTTTTACATCACTATTATCCTAATCAAAAGGGATAAACTAAATCAAATTTGAAACAAAACCTCTTCCAAATTTTTATAGAACTATTATAGTCATGCAAGTGTCACTAACATACTAAAATACATTTTAGAAAATCATGGTGAGAGTACCCCTTTCTAAAAGAATTTTAAAAAAACATGCAATTTAACAAAGTAGTTCATCCATAAGAAATTCAAAGGAAAATGACATAAAACCAAAGTTCCCTAGTTACCATAACCAATAAGTGTATTAACAAAATTCAAATAAATAAAACTCAAAAATCACAAATTTCTAGAGTTTTCCAAGCTTCTCTTCATCACTCTTGTGTCACGACCTTGCCCTTACTTAAAGTTCATTTTAAAATCAAGGTGAGTAAAACTCAGTAACGCAATTTTCTATTGAGAATGTTTGTTTAATCCACCACACTTAAATGGTGTGAAAGTTATCTTGTTTATAATCAAATAAATTACAAGAATATGGAAAGAGTAATAAATGGAAATAACAATAAATGAAAAGATATCTAAGGTAAGAAGGCAAATATCTAGATATTTGCCTTATAATAAAATATCAAATATGATATATATGATAAACTATAATTTATTACTAAATATCCTTAACACCCCACCGCAAGCTGAGCGTCGGATTTGAACGAACGTGAAGCTTGGATTTGAAAAATTCAAAGAGAGGTTGAGAAACACTTTTCGTGAACATGTCAACAACCTGGTTTAGAGGAGGCGTAGAGAAACACTTTTTTGCCCATCGAAAACTACAGAGGGATCGTCGCTCAACGGCGATGCTACCTTGCTTCGACGAGAATATGTCAACCCAAGAAGTAGAAGGGGAAACCTAGAGCAGGGACAAAGACAATGTTGAAGTCGGAAGAGTTGCCACAGTGGGCGAAGGAGCCAATTTTGGCTAGAAGGGCGACGACGACTTGGTTGGCGAAGAGGCCAGTGCGGCAGGTTGAGGGAAAATCGATTGTGTTGGAAAAGGTAGGTGAGGTCGTATGTACAAAGTATGACGAAGGGTGATTTGGAGATGGGCTCTGTAACGAGCCAGATCCACCACTAGCAGATATTGTCCTCTTTGGGCTTTCCCTTTCGAGCTTCCCCTCAAGGCTTTAAAACGTGTCTGCTAGGGGAAGGTTTCCACACCCTTATAAATGGTGATTTGTTCTCCTCCCCAACCAATGTAGAACATCACAATCCACCTCCCTTCGGGGCCAGCGTCCTCGCTGACACTCTTTCCTTCCTCTAATCGATGTGGGACCACCCCCAAATCCACCCCCTTTGGGGCCTAGTGTCCTTACTGGCACACCGTCTCGTGTCTACCCCCCTTCAGGGAACAACGAGAAGGCTGGCACATCGTCCGGTGACTGGCTCTGATACCATTTGTAACGACCCAGATCCACCGCTAGCAAATATTGTCCTCTTTGGGCTTTCCCTTTCGGGCTTCCCCTCAAGGCTTTAAAACGCATCTACTAGGGGAAGGTTTCCACACCCTTATAAATGGTGATTTGTTCTTCTCCCCAAACAATTTGGGACATCACAATCCACCCCACTTCGAACGGAACGAAAAAGCGATGGGTATACATTAAATGTATATTCCGCCAATGCCCTAGCGTACGGGAATATACCGACTATTTGTGGTGATGTCTTTTGGTCTCACCAATGCCCCAACGGTATTTATGGAATTAATGAACCAAGTATTTAAAGAGTGCTTAGACTCATTTGTGATCGTGTTCATAGACGACATCTTGATATACTCGAAAACAGACCTAGAACACCAAAAGCACTTTCGCAAAGCCTTAATTATCCTAAGGGAGAATAAGCTGTATGCCAAATTCTCCAAGTGCGAATTTTGGCTACGACAGGTTTCGTTTCTAGGGCACGTAGTGTCTAAAGACGAAATCTTTGGAGATCCCAAAAAGATAGAAGCTGTCACGAAATGGAAACGCCCAACAACGGTCACCGAGATACGAAGTTTCTTAGGATTGGCGGGCTACTATCGAAGATTTGTCCAGGACTTCGCTAAATAGCCATGCCTCTCACCCAATTGACAAAAAAGGGTGTACCTTTTGTTTGAGACGATACTTGTGAGGCCAGCTTTCAAGAGCTAAAGAAAAGACTAGTATCCGCCTCAGTACTCACAGTTCCAGAGAGTTCTGTGGTATACGTGATTTACAGTGATGCATCCAAAAAGGGGTTGGGTTGTGTACTGATGCAACAAGGCAAGGTTGTTGCGTATGCATCACGCCAACTAAAGGATTATGAGAAAAACTATCCTACACATGATTTAGAGTTGACAGCAGTGGTGTTCGCGTTAAAAATTTGGTGACACTACCTGTATGGCGAAAAGACCCAAATCTATACGGACCATGAAAGCCTAAAATATTTGTTCACACAAAAAGAATTGAACATGAGGCAACGTAGATGGTCAGAGCTTGTAAAAGATTACGACATAGACATCAATGCCACCTTGGAAAAGCAAACATAGTCGCTGATGCACTGAGTCGAAAAGCAGTACATTCGTCAGCCCTCATCACCAGGGAGCCACGAGTGCGAACTGATTCCGAACAGGTTGACATAGCGGTAGTAACTGAAGAAGTGGCAGCCAAAATAGCCCGACTGACAGAATGTCCCACGCTCAGACAAAGGATCATAGACTCACAACGTGGGGATCCAAGCTTAAGCAAAATCCTAGACCAATTGAAAGTAGGCTTAGTGGACGGATTCTCTAAGTCAACAGATGACGGATTGTTATGTCAAGGACGCTTATCTGTGCCACCCATGAGCAAAATGAAGAAGAAAATCTTAACTGAGGCACACAACTCACCCTTCTCGATACATCCAGGTGGAACAAAGATGCATCAAGATTTGAAACAACCCTTCTGGTGGCGAAGTATGAAAAAGGATATCGCGGAATACGTGAGTAAGTGTTTGGTGTGCCAACAAGTAAAAGCCCCTAGGCAGAAAACCGCCGGGCTACTACAACCTCTAAGTATACCGAAATGGAAATGGGAAAACATTGTCATGGATTTCATAATAGGCCAACCCAAAACATTAAAGGGCTATACGGTTATTTGGGTGGTCATGGATCGTCTGACAAAGTCGGCACATTTCCTACCGGGGAAGGCAACATATATGGTAGACAATTGGGCCCAACTGTACGTGAAGGAAATTGTGAGGTTGCATGGGGTACCGGTGTCAATTGTGTCGGATTGGGATCCGTGTTTCACATCGACCTTTTGGTGCGGACTCCAAAAAGCGATGGGTACCCGCCTCGACTTTAGCACCGCCTTCTACCCACAAACGGATGGCCAAACGGAACGATTAAACCAAATCCTGGAAGATATGCTTCGGGCATGCATTATGGATTTCACAGGGAGTTGGGACACTAAACTGCACTTAATGGAATTCTTATAATAACAGCTTCCAAGCAACCATCGGGATGACACCCTTTAAAGTGTTGTATGGAAAACGATGTAGATCCCCATTGTGCTGGGACGAAGTAGGAGAATGAGAACTTGTAGGACCTGAGCTGGTCCGCATCACCAATGAGGCAGTACAGAAAATTAGAGTAAGAATGCGTACCGCACAGAGTAGGCAAAAGAGCTACGCTGACGTTAGTCGTAGGAATCTAGAGTTCGAAGAGGAAGAGTTCAAACTAGCTCTACCACCTTCACTCTCAAGCGTACACGATATAATTCATGTGTCCACGTTAAGGAAATATATTGCAGACCCTACGCACGTAATAGACTAAAAACCTCTCGAAATCGAGGAAGATTTAAATTATCAGGAGAAACTGATTAGAATCCTGGCCCGAGAAGTGAAAGCCTTACATAACAGAAACATAGGTTTCATTAAGGTACTGTGGCGTAACCACAAAATTGAGGAAGCTAGGTGGGAACGAGAGGAGGAAATAAAGGAAAAAATATCCCGAGTTGATCCACGAGTTTGAGACTTTCGCTCGCACATGACCCACAAAGGGCGGCCGAAGGCTGGGATGTCACAGGACTCGTCCCCGACCTTCAGCCACCCCGAAATGACCTGCAAAGAACGAAAACAGTGAAAGAACGAGAAGGAACAGAGGACCCCGACGAAACTCCGGCGAAGCCGAACCATACGAGATCGACGTCAAAACCTCCATTTTACACCACAAAAGTAATCCCGTAACCCTTTACACACATAAGGAGTAGATTTTAGACGAATCCTTTACGCTGAACACTGTCGGCAAGGAAGACGGAACATCGGACTTTCGAACTTCTCCAGATCCGGGAGTGTGAGGCCCTTACAAACGAAATCTGTACCAAAAACGGGGTTAGGGTGAAGAAGAGACTCAGGAACGGAGAAAAAAAGAGGGAAAAAGGATGTTGGGACGACGTTATCGAGGAGAGAGAAAGTCGCCAGAAAAACGTGCAAGCAGTCGGGCGAAGAGGACGAAGTCCGACTCGAGGGCCAGATCCCGCAACCCGAACCAAATCCAGTTCACTTATGTCGGTCCAGATCTTGACGGTTCCTGCGGCCCAAACCGCATAAGCCAGCCCGCCTGCATTTCTTTCCTTCACCCGCGAACGGCCCATCACCGCGCACGGCCCATCACCCGCGAACGGCCCGTCACCTGCGTACAACCTGAGACCCGCGAGCGATCCTATAACCCGCGCCTTGACCTGAGACCCTTGCACACGCGTCGCTCTCTTATTGTGGCATGTGGCACGTCTGCAGCGCAGCTCCAGCAGCTCAATCGGCTCGGCGACAGCTTCTCGGCTCCGCGGCTTATTCGGCTCAGGAAATCTATTTCCAGCCCGTTTGTCACCATTCCGACCCTCCGGGACTTAGTTTCAGCTGTGTTTAAGGTAAAATAGAACATTGTAAGGTCGTATTTCACAAATTCGAGTTGGGAATTAATTATATTTGTGAAATACTAATGGAAGTGACGAATGAACAAATAGGAACCAACCACCAACAGAGCGTAGAACGTCCACGAGGAGCTAGGAGCTTACGCTATATTTTAAGGAGTACTTCGGCTAAGGCCTACCAAGTAAGTGGCTCACTCATCGTAGGTTACGCGTTATTTGCTGTATGCTTGCACGTGCCAGTGAATTTGCACGTGTCATTAAATTGTATGCTAGTTTAATGTGCTTAAGTATGAAATCATGTGAACGTGAATGTATGCTATGTATGCTGCTTAGTTTGATGTGATATGTTATGCATGTGACGATATGTGGTCATTGAATGATTATGGCATGTTTGTATGGAATACGTGAATGTGAACAACATGAATTGTATGACTGAAACACGGTAAACTGCCTGGAATCATAACCCCGATAGAAATGTGTATGAAATGTGAATTGAAAATGAGAATGACATGAAACATGGAATGTGACGGGGGGTTATGGTCATTAAAGATAAATGTAGAAATAGGGGGACCTCATGCATTATGTGTGTTCATGCATCTGGGGGGATACTCCCATCCCATCACGAGGGTACGGACGCGTACATCCAATGACAAGACAACGATCGTTATGCATTGCATAGTGCTGCCATGACGATTCTAGTTTTAATGGGTCCCAGCATAAGGGGCTCCAAGAATATGCCCACCGGATAAGGACAGTGGCCCAGCGGTGTGCGAACTAGCTGGTGAGCCCATACTTGCACGTATGAGCTGTGTGTAGAGTATATGGTACACATCCACGATTACCCGTTAGGACTGCACCGTAGGGAAAACGAAATGAAACGATAGGTCCCATCATTTTATTGCATGTGATTGTTGCATAACCCCGATAGGGGGTCACTTACTTAGTATTCTAGAAATACTCAAGCCTCATACTACTTTACTTTTGCAGATAAGAGAAAGGCATCCATGTGACAACGACGGCGGCATCGTACACCCTGGGACCGTGGCACATGCATAGGATAGTTGTTTTTCCATTTCATAGTCTAGATTAAATTCGTTTTGCATCACTAGTATAGGTTAGTATATGATGAGTTGTATTTGTATAATAAACCATAGGGTAGAATTAAAACATTCATTTCGGTTTTGGTCCTTTTCCTTTATTTCAATAATATTCGTTTTTTTTTCCCCTTGTAATCTTTTCTCTTTCACGAGGTAATAAAAGGCGAGTGTAAGTCGCATTTATGAACATGGTCCATTTAATGTATATTCCACATTTCAAGGTATAGTAATGACCTTAGAATAAATAGGTAAAATTTTAGGGTCGTTAGAGGCTCCGATACCATGAGAATGTTTGTTTAATTCACCACACCTAAATGGTGTGAAAGTTATCTTATTTATAATCAAATAAATTACAAGGATACGAAAAAAAGTAATAAATGAAAATAACAATAAATGGAAATATACGTGTGACAATAAGGTAAATATCTAGATATTTGCCTTATAATAAAATATCAAATATAATATATATGGTAAACTATAATTTATTACTAAATATCCTTAACACCTATTAAGGTCATATATGCAAACTATCATATAATTCATCAATCAAAATTAAGGGACCTAAGTGATTGATTGCTCGAAACACACCCCGTATAATCTACCTGCCTAAAAGAGTTTTTCAGCAATCACTCCTCAGTGACCATTGTTGATTGGTTACTCGATACACACAGCATGTAACCCTTACCATGAAATAATTTTTAGCAAGCACTCATGTGACGGTTAGTGGTTGTTATTCGAAATATTCAATTTATAATCCTTACCATGTCTATTACATTAATTCATAACATGCACATACATGGTCCAAAATATTTATTTATCATGATTAATAGATCTGACAACAAACAACAAACCTCCATACAACAACAGATACATCCAATCGTACATTAGAAAAACAAAAATGATTTAGTGTCAATAGGAAGGTCCCTTACTTATAAACTTCGCTTTAGAAATTTTGATTTATTAGACTAAATGTTCTCGACTCGAACCTACATTCAAGCCCCTAACAAATCAACCTAACTTCACATAATACAATGATTCCAATAATCATAAGGCGCTATATCAAGATGGAATGTCATCTAAAACATTTGAGGTTTTTAAGAACACTCTTCCTTTAACTTCACATTCGATTTATGTATTTGTTGAACACAATTTTGTGGGACACACTCACACTCTTTATTAACACCAATCGGAAAGAGATTAGAAGAAAAATATGGAAAATCTGTATAATACTACTCCACTTTGTTGTGCTCAAGACTGCTTTGAGATTTCTCCTATGAAAATATTAGTAGAGTGGAGAGATATTTAGAGGCTACCCAATTAATTCCTAAAATATCTAATCATTTATTTCCAAAATACATAAATCATTTTTTAAAAATATTTAGGTATCTCTATTCTTATACCTAAATCATTCTCCTAAAGTACCTAAATCATTTCCTTAAAATATATAGGCAATAAACTCATATAATTATTGGTCTTGACCCTATTGAGCGAGTAATGATATTTTAACATGCCCCTCGACACTAGTCTTCCTTAGCCGCACCATATTGAAATGAAAACAAAAACGCTCATGTTTGTTAGTATACAACCATTTTGTAGATGAGTTTGTCATATGGTCATCTATACTCTTCATTCAAAACTTTCTTTATCCACATGTTTTTTTCTAGCATGAAACATCAGATTTTCTACTAAACGAGCCATAGATTGGTGATAACTCTCCAAAAGTTGAGTTATATCAAGTCTTTTTGTAGTTAATTATGCACTCATACAAACCATTTTCTCATTATTTGCTCCATTTGTTTTAATTAGTAAGCATGAAATAGTTCATTGTGGTTCAACATGAAAAGAATATCAATTTGCATGAATCGAGCCTAATTGTACATTTAATTGAGTTATTTGACAAAATTTCAGAACATTTATGCTGAACCATGTTGTTATAGTAAATCTGGAAACAACACTGCTGATCATGATGTTGAAGCAATTCGGAAAACAAACTTTTGAGGATGACATGGAAATTTTAATCCACATGAGCGATCCACGGGGTTCATTGACTACCCAATTAGAAATATCCTAGGTGAACGATTTTATCCTTTTCTCGGCCCTAAATGGGAAGAGGAAAACAATATAAAAGAAAAAGGATACCTAAAAAGAGAGGAAGCCACATTTGGAAAGCAAAAAATTGGAATAGACTGAGCAGCTGTAAATTGGTGTGAAACCAAAGAAAAAAAAGAAGAAGAACCCTAATCCAGCAGCTATGACAGCAAAAGGAAAAGAAGATCAAGAAGGATTGTTAGGGTAAAAAAGTGAACGTGAGAGCTCAAAGGAAGGGAACTTGCATTGAAGAACAACAACAAAGCTTGGTATTTCTCTAATTTCTTACTCTCTTTTCTTATTCTATCTATTTCATATAATTGAGATATGGATTCCACTGTTTAATTCAATTTGTATGGAGAGCTAAACTTTACAGGGGAGGCGAGAGAGTTTTATGTAGTTTAAGTATGTTGATAACGTGATTTTAGTTTATTAAAAAGTTGTTGTTAATGATTTACATGTGTGTTTAATTAGCTAATTTACATACATATATACATAATTGTTCTCTTATTCCGAAGAAGAGAGGGAACAATGAAATTTTCTTTAATACTCTAGTTACATTGCAAGGATACTTGAAAATAATTAAATGTTAAGAATAATTCTTCCCTAGAACCTTGTTAACAGATATTAAAAAACGATTATGGAAAGAAAGGCACGACCCTGGTAAGCTTGGGAATAAAAGGAACTAAAATCTACCACAAAAAAAATAATCTGTTTTGTGACTGTAGTGGCACTTTGCATTAATTTTTTTTTAATTAGTTTAAAATCACTAACACCCATTTGAACGTTGCCCAAAAACTCATTTAATTTCCAGCAATAAAAGTAATAAAAAAGATAGGTTCTCTTGGAATCGATAATTTACTTAATACTTGCTACTTGTGATAGCGTATAACATTTATTTTTGTGAATTTTATATCATTTTATTATATACATCCACAAGCAATCAAATTTTTGGCGCCATTGACGGTGAACTTAATATATACATACATATATGAAGCTCCAAAGTAAACCAAGTTTATTTTTTTTATTTATTTTATTTTATTTTAAAATTTATGCACTTACATAATTGTTTTTATGTAGTTTTCTTTACTTTCCTTAGAATAATATATATATATATATATATATATATATATATATATATATATATATATATATATATATATATATATATATATTTTTTTTTACTTTTTGTCATCGTGAACGGCTGCATGCCACAAGTTAGGACAGCATGCCACAAGTAAAGTTTGCCAACTTTTATAGGTAGTTTAGGTGTATTTAAATGTGATTAGGAAGACTAATTTCAGCATGTTTGGGGGGCTAATTACACATACGGCATATTAGGATGTGATGGATGACAAATGTTATTTTCTTGTGGTGCATGTTGTCATGCACCCAGTTGTTTTGTTAATTTTCATTTGCATGTGATATTATATTTTTTTTTTAAATGTGGTGTACGTTCTTATGAAACTACATGTCAAGACACCATTACCAAAGAAGTTTTTTAGGAAAAATATCTACATTCATCCTAAAAGATTTGTTAACTCCTCCGAGAAAAGAAATATGTATGAAAAAAGAAAAATTGACAGAAAATAATCTTTGTGCAGTCTCGATAAGAATGAAGTGGAAAGACAATAAAGAAGGTGCAAGAAGGCGGCTACACATTAGAATCACATGTATATCTAACAACAATAGTATGCATGCCAAAACATATAGAAGTATGGACCAGAAAAGACTTGGGAAGACTTCAAGAAATGCAAACATGTACCAATTACAAATAAAATAATAAAAATTATTATTAAAAATTAAATAGTTAATTATGAAACTTTAGGACAAAAATTTCAACAAGATAATCCTATCGATCACTTATGCATGTACTACATTTTTTAAACATTTATGCAAGCTCAGCCGTAAGATAAAGATAATGTCCATCCGTTACTCGGAGCACAAATCACAAATTCTCATCCTTCTTTAAATTCTCAGCCTATTGGCATGTTCATAATTTTTTTAACACACATTGAATTCTCATCCAAAATTTCCCTTATAAAGTTGTAATAGTACATTTTCTAACCACCTAAGGAAAGATATGCTTGCATGTTAGCACGTCTTAGCGATCCCTACAAGTATTACTTGAACATAGTTAAAATGGCTATTTAATGTTTCTATGTTAGATCCTAATTCAAGTAAAATTAAGGTGAGTATCAAAATTGGGGCAAACAATAGTTGAACAAAGGTCGAACAGGCGAAAAAAGAGAGACACACGTTGTCACATGCATACACGTGCATAGGGGGAGTCTTACGCGTAGATTCACGCTACGTGTCACGTGCGCTACAAAGTGGTACTTGTGGACTAGTGGTTGGGGTTGGAGGCAGGTAGTTAGGGTGGGAGACGGGCCGTGGTTCTTAGATCTTGCGACCCGATGCACTTTTGAGGCCTATGCAACATAGATTTTTTCGATTTAATTTCCATAACGTAGAATCCATGGTGATTTCACATTTTTCCTAATTTATTCGGCTTTTTGTATCTTTTTGTATGTAACTCTATTTAACTTGGTTTCTCAATTAAAGTTGAAGAGTTTTAATCTATCATGTAGCTTTATCACCTATGGAAGGTGTTAAGGATAGTTGACCGTTCATTATAAGGCAAATATCTAGATATTTGCCTTACATTACCGGTTACCATATTTTCCCTTTTACTAAATGCAAATATATTGTATTCATTTATTATTCTTTCCTTTTATCGCTATTTCCTTATTATTTGTAATTTACCTTATTTCTGTAGTCTGTAAATGATTATAAATAAGAGAACTCTCACCACCATTTGGGTGTGGTGGATTAATCAAACATTCACATGGTATCAGAGCCCTTTCGGTTTAACAACCCTGATCCTTTCTTTTCTATGGCTTCCGAATCTTGTTATCATCTTCTTCCTTTCAATACTCTAATCCATATGATCACCATCAAACTTTCTTCCTCCAATTATCTTCTTTGGAAAAGCCAACTTCTCCCTCTTCTTGAGAGTCAAGACATGCTGGGCTATGTCGATGGAACTATGGTTCCACCACCTCGCTTTGAACCAGAAACCTC